TCGTCAACCTTTTTTGTAGTGGTACACCCTTTCCACCAATTCTTAAAATCTGTATACCCGGCCCGTCCTACATTTTTAATACGTGAAAAACTCAATATTTAGAAGTTATATATGTTGACTTTGACGCAATAGTTTATTATTTAGTTAATTAATATGCATTTGTTATTTTTTTTTGTTTTAATTTCAATGAGTGCAGACAACAGTTGTTCGGAAAGGTATGGCGTAGGGCTGTAGGCATTCGTACGAGAATGGTGACATCTTTTTGTTAAAGATTGCAATACTTGGGAACTTCTCATAGTGCTGCCTAAAATTAGTTGTATTTTTTATATGTTTTGAACTCTGCCTTTGGACCTCCTGAAGTAAGCGCACCAAGATGGCGCACATACTGGACTCAAGTTGTGTACCAGGTTAGGGTTCAGGTTATGCGACATCTTGGTGCGCATACTTCAGGAGTACCCTGTTTTTTGTACAAGATCTGATTGTAATTCACGCAGTTCACCAGTTATGTGTTCAAGAGCAACCTTTCAACATCTAGTAAATAGGCTCCGAAGTTTAGCAGTAGCACATCAAGATGCTTACCGTGTTTCCCCGAAAATAGGACAGGGTCGTGTTTCAATTTTCTCTCTATAATTATCAATAGGACTTATTTTTTGGAGGGGATGTCTTTTATTTTAATTTATCAAAAACAAAATTACAAAGTAGAGAATTACGAGATTTTCAAATATACTTACTCATAAATAACACGTTTTTATGTGAAATAAATCCTAAATATAGATTATTAATCATTTGAATCGCGTATGTTTCTTACTATCGAATAGGTTAAAAAAGTCGGGCTATCGACTAGGATTAGGTCTTATTTTAAAGGGAGGGCTTTTATTGAAAACTTTTCAAAAATCCAGGCTATAGGTATTATTTTCGGGGAAACACGGTATGTATAATTGATCTCATCTTGGTTTTCATGTCTGCGTTTCCATTTTCCCATCAACATGTCTCAATGAAATATTCCAGACATTCAAAATCGGAAAAATCGCATAATATTCTAATCTTGCTTCAAAAATATCAAGATTCAATCTTGCTTCAAAAATACCAAACCCTTTTCTCTCGATAATTTTAACAGATATGTGATTTTAAATATGGCTGTTAGATAATATAATTTTGCAAGCCAAAAGATATCTTGAAAACTAGCAGCCATCGAAAGTCTTTCCTGGGTTAGAAGCATATCGTGTGATAGTGTGTACCTTACAACAGTCGGTATATAGTATACGGTACACCCCTGGTACACCCTATCGACCTGGTACACCCTTCAAAGTTTTTGGTACACCCTGGGGTGTACTATACACCCTGTTGACGAGCACTGCTCTAGAGCAGTGGTTCCCAACCGCTGGTCCGGGAATTCGGTTTAATCTGGTATGTGCGAGTAATTTTAATCCCTCTGTGTTGAAAAGCCTATAATCTGTGTCCAATTTTTTTATTGATGCCTATGACCTTACAATGCCCTAGCAGCTAGCTTATGCAAAGCGAACGACACATGCCATTAGATCAATAATCAAATATGAATAAATATGTTATCTATGCTCAGACACTTGCCCCATAAATGCAAAATAATACTCCCACAACTTTTTTTCCCATATTAAAATCTAACAAACCAAATTATATTATATCATCATTCAGACCCACTTCGTTGACGTCCAACTTATATAAGGTAATGGAACGACTAATTGCAAACGGACTCAAATGGTATCTTGAAAAGTTTAGTTTGATAACGACGAAACAATCTGGATTCAGAAATCATCGCTCAACAACCGATAATATCCTTCGAATACATGATGATATCTATAAAGCTTTGACAAATAAAAGATCTGTTCCAGCAGTGTTTCGCGATACAGAAAAGGCTTACGACATGGTCTGGCGTTGTGGTCTCTTATACAAACTGTATAATATTGGGATACGTGGTCGATCTTTTATGTGGATTAAATCGTTTTTGTCGATCCGTACCTTTCAAGTCCGTATCGGCAACACAATGTCCGATATATTCAAGCTCGATAACGGAATTCCCCAAGGTAGCGTTTTATCCCCACTTCTTTTTAATGTTACGACAAATGATATGCCCCAGTGTGTTTCTTCAAACATAGCGCTCTTTGCGGACGAGTGCAGCATTTGGGAAGTTGAGTTACGTATTGATCATCATTTTACAAAGGTCCAAACTAATCTAGAAAATATTAATTGCTGGTGCAATGATTGGGGGTTTCGCCTCTCGAAAACAAAATCAAAAGCCATTCTTTTCACGAGACGAAGAAAACTGCCACATACAATATTGAAAATAGAAGGATCCAGTCTTAAAAATGAGAAGTACTGCAAATACCTGGGAGGTCATATTCGATTCACGATTGACATACAGAAAACATATTGAATACATAGAAAAAAGATGCGGTAAAAGAGTGAATTTGTTACGTGCATTATCGGGTACGAAGTGGGGTGCAAATAAGAATACATTGCTCACAGTATATAGGGCGATAATAAAACCAGTTATCGAGTATGGCATGGAAGCAATTTATTTTACATCTCCGACTATATTGCGGAAACTGGTCGTAATCCAATCACAATGTTTACGCATTTACTTGGGTGCTTCTAAGTACTCCTATTATAGCTTTACAATCCCAGTGTAACGAAATGCCTTTACATAGTATACATTATAGAAAATGTCTACATTACAAATGCAGAATGATCCCTCATGACAGCGAAATTACAGCACAATTATTTAAACAGCCGTGGGAAGAATATTTTCCTGACAGACCATCATTTGCAACGTTTAATATGAACACAACCAACAGCTTTTATACCGACTTCTCTGTTGCAAAAGATGTCAATTTCGAGATTCCTCCCTGGATAATGACGCCACCGCAAATTGATACATCGTTAACGATTTATGGTACAACCTGTTCACCAACAATACTTCAAACGTCATTCCTTGACCATATACACGAAAACTATCAAGACTATGTACAAGTATTCACTGACGGTTCGAAAAACCCATTTGGCGTGGGTGCTGCATATTATGTGCCTCAAGCGAAAGTAGAGAAAAAACTGAAATTACATCGTTTTGTCTCTTCACATACATCGGAGCTATACGCAATTCTGGGTTGTCTCAGATGGATCGCAACAACAAGACCGGAACGTGTATTGATAATAACAGATTGTCTCAAGGTCCTTTCGAAAACCGCATTCGTAAACATATTAATTGCGAAAATAGCTACAATAAACTCGGTGTTAACAAAACAAGGAATACAAATTACATTCCTATGGTCACCAGCTCACGTAGGAATTATCGGAAACGAAATAGTGGATAACCTGGCAAAAGGAGCAATCAACAAACTTTCCCTTGATGCAATTCTGCCACTTTCCGTCTCAGAAGCAAAATCATATTCTGATACATTGGTTTGAGAAATGAAATACGGAATATGTTAATAGTGAATCAGCAAGCCATTATAAAAGATTTCATCCTACCACGATGTCACGACTGGAAAACGAAACTTTGTCACGTAAATATCAAGTTCTTTTATTCCGACTGCAAAGTGGTCATTGCGCCCTGAATGCACATTTACATAAAATTGGCTGTCATTCTGACGGATTTTGTGAATATTGTTTCGTACCTGAGACCGTAGCTCACTACCTATTGCATTGTCAACGATATAATCATCAAAGGAGCCCAGTCATTAGCAAAGCCAGAAAACTTAAACTGGAAATGACTTTGGAAGAAGTGCTTATTATCATGGACATTATTGAAACTGTTATCGAATTTGTTTTGTCTACGGGCAGAAATATTTAGAAAAAATTACCTATTGTAATTGATTCAATTGTATAATTACATATTCGTAAATATTGTATTATATGTTAGTATAGGATTTTCGAATTCAAAATGATCAAAGGCGCAAAAGACCACTGAGGTTATAAGCGCCATAAAAAATATAAGAACAAACAAATGTTTTTTGCCTTCAACTACTAAAAAGCCTATGATGTTAAATAAAGGTGCGGCCTGCGGTTTCAACTATAAACTAGCAATGATTTGTATCTACTAACAGCAAACCAAACCTTTTCTTCACAAGAAGGTTAACTTTGTTATTTGTAGATATTTCAGCTAATACATAATGAATATGTTACCCTATTATTGACTCATAATGCGTGACTTTGGGTCAAAATCCAAAATTCTTCCTCTATACATCTGTTGTGAAATACTCCGAGCAGCACAAAAGGTGGAAAAAGTTATAATGAATATCAATAAAAATGTCTGAATTTTGTGAATATGTCAACTCTGTTCTTGAAATTTACTTCTGTGTTTCTTCAGATTTTGTTTTTATTGTAAAAATATACGATTCGTCATAGATGTGATTTCCTGATCATTTACAGGGGGATTTTAGAGCGGCGTTTTCCTTATTTTAAGAAAATTTTTCAATGTATCTATCTTGATTTCAATGCGCCGAAACGGATTATTATTAAGTTGATTGAAGGTTAGGGATTGGGGGTTATTAAGGTTATTGATCATTTCATGGCGTATGATTAGAAATTTTTAACTATTCGATAAACCTAAATTTAAAGCGCGTGTCCAGTGCCACACATCAGATGATAATAAAATCTTATCGGTACATAGGTTGTAATCTAATGTTTTTGTACTCCGATGAGATGCTACATTGGCTAAAACATTTGTGCTTTATATTAAATAATCGGTAATTTATTAATATGATTAAACGTAATTATGTTATCGTATTTGAGTTTTATCATATTAAAACCGAGTCGCTTATATACAAAGAGACTATCTCTATTTTATTTATTCTTAGTAACTAAATGCGTGCGATTTATCTTAATTGGCTCTATGACATTGATAAGTTGAAACAACTATTTAGAAATAGTGCGTTTATCAGCAAGCTAATACCATATAGTCATAAACACACCAGTCATTCTACAACATTTCATTCACAATTCTAAGCGATACCAAGATATACAAAATGATTTCTTACCGCCATCCTTACCAAGCTGTCTCGAATGCTCAATGGACGCCATTTCTTCGTCTCAATTACGCAGGAAGTCCGGATCCAGAAGATATTACAACAAAAAAGAGAAAATTTTCGTCTGATCAAGATCCGGGTTTTAAGAAAGTTACAATTGTAATTCAGGAGACACAAGATACAAAAATTCTAGACACTTCGGAGTCGCCCGAACAAGTGGAAAAATTTAATAACCGACAAAGAAAAGCAAAAACTCTTTTCACTATCGACGCATTACTGGGACATTCGAACGAAAGCCCAAGCAAAAAGAGAAAACTAGAGCTTACACAGTCAACAAAAACCAAAGATGATTCATTCGATTCTGGTTTTGCATCGTCTGAAGAAAACGACGAATCGATTATTGGATGTACTGGTGCAAATGATAGTGGAATTTGTGTCAGTGAATCACGAGAAGAATATGGACAAATTCATTCCGTGCCAACAGACTTACCTCAACCCAAAGTAAGAAACAATCGGCAATTACCGCATCCAGAAAGCTACAGTCGTATATATTTTCGTATCCATGATGTATATTATTTATATCCTGGTTTAAACAAAATTGTGCAGCAGAATTGAATGAATCACAGCCAACATGCGATATCGTATGCACCGATTGAGACTTCAGCTTTTGCTGGTCATGGCAATACTCAGCCGAAAATGTATTCACATTTATCGAAACACAGACCTCAAACAACAGAAAAGGCTAAAAGAACAAGAACTACATTCACTCAGAAACAATTAGAACGTTTGGAAACTGAGTTCAACAATCAACAATACATGGTCGGAATTGAAAGACGAATACTTGCTAAAAACCTCAGACTCACAGATGCGCAAGTAAAAGTTTGGTTTCAAAATAGAAGAATCAGATATAGGAATGAGAAGAAGCGCGAACCCCAAGAAGAAGAAAACAACAAATTGGACATTCACAAACGCGAAGCGATCGGAAAATGTTAGGATTTCTTATGATTACAGATTTAAGTTCCATAGTTTCTTATATGTTGTCTTTGTAATAATTGTTCATCAAATGTTTCATGAAATAAAGTTTCTAATAAAGAATATTGAAATAATTCTATTTTGTCGTCAGGTATAGCGTGTGTGTGTGTATAGCTTACTTCCGTTAGATAAATGTCAAACTAATATTCAAATTCATCAACAAGATGCAGATTATTTATTTCAAGAATGTGATCCATTGTCTTGAGATTTATTGGCACAATCTTTCATCGCTTCCAAAGCCATTAATTGTAGTTACATAGCTCTTTCTAAGTCTACAAACTTTCGACAAATTTCTCTACTATCGAGACGCATCTACTAAAATCGTCCTGCTTCCTTTTCACCTACTTTTCAAAGCATTTTTGTGATGGCTGATAAAAGCTAGTTTAAGCTCAGGCACGTCAGATAAATTCCATTCACAAATTTGGGGACTTGTTAATTGATATAAACTGTTTTTGACCCATTTACTAATAAATAAAATGATCATTTCATGTAAACTAAATAAATGACAATATGTACCTATTTTTATCATTACATGGCGTAGAAAAAGGGTGATCGACATTCTGTCTAGTGTAACTTTGTGCACTTGCATTTTGTATTGTACAACATTTGCCATTTTATACCTTTTGGATTCGAAATTTTTTTTCTCTTATTTTACGAAATATTGGAAATATTGTAAAGTTCACTTGGTTTTGTGAAAACGAATGAAAGATTTAATCTTTCTGTGAAAGAGCTGCATGAAACTGTTCCAGTATTGTTATTTTTCTCAAGTTGTATATGGCAGGGCTTCCAAAGCTTATAAACTCGCGACTCCTTCCAACATGTTAAAATTTTCCGCGAACCTGTTCACGTATAAACAGCTAAACAGTTCGAAGTATGCAAACGCGACGCTTCTCCCATCCTATGCATTCTTTGTGAATCGTTATATTGATGTTTTGCACTGGTTTTATTATTTGTGTGCTTGATTCAAAAATATTGGGAAGCTAAATAGATGTAGTACCTTGAGTGAAATTGCGGTACCCTGCGAGTCACGACCCCCAGTTCGGGAAGTCCTAGTACAGGTGTTATTGGTAGTTAAGAGTGAACCAACAAATTTGAAAAAATAGTTAAAAATATAAACTAACAATGATTTGTGTCTACTAGCTCGCTAAGCTAGTTATTGCCTCATAATGCTTGACTTTGGGTTAAAGGTCATTAGTGTGAAAGTCGAGGCGCAGTTCTTACCACTTCATGGCAGCTCCTGCCACGAACGAACCGCGGCAGCTCTTGCCATGGTTTTATAGCGCTATTCAGTATTCCGTAATCAGTATTAACGGTATATTCACAAATTAATGTACCAGATTTTAATTGATCATGTGGAATTATATCTACTTAAACCCTAACCCTAACCCCAAATCAATCAAAACTGTATCCATAAGAAAAACGTTCCAACTTACCCAATATTTGTCACCATAATAGACAGCCCTGTCTTTACGGCCCACCTGCCGCGGTTACGGCAGCAAAATTTTACCTGCCATTGGTTTTCAATTTGCTGCCGCGGTAACGGCAGCTCGACATTGATTTGTGGCAGCTGAAAAAGTCAGTTGCCATTATTTTGGCCGTAGCGGCCATGGTATGGAAATACCGCCATGGTTTTGCGGCAGCTGCAGATGCCACAGAATACTTAAAACTGCACTTGTGAAAGTCTGTTTTTTAAAGTTCCCTTTCGGTATACATCTCTTGTGTCATGAATTGAAATTACAATCTTCGGTTTAATCGCGGGTATAGTTCTACACTAATTTCCACGGCCTCAAAAATTCCTTCATCTAATTTATTGTTCAAGTAAATCATTCATGCATCTTACCCAGCTGGATATTTTTGAATGTATATTCGAAATATGGAAAAACAAGAACAAGTGCTAAATAAGTGAGCCACGTAGGACTAGTGGGATGCGTCAGACACATGGGACAAGTGCGCGGCGGCGGTGTGGCTCATCGTGGTACGCTATCCACCGCACCTCTAATTACTCTGAGTGGGTTCGCAGGTTCGAATCCCATGGAGGGATGGCTATTGGCTATGTGACAGAGGATTGCTGGTCTCGCCGCCGTAGGATGGTTCACGTAACAGCTGGTCGGTCACAAGTGGTTTGCCATATGGTTAAGTCGTCTTATCGGCTTTCCTCTTTCTCGGGATAAATATATAAATCTTATCCTATCCTAAGCGGGATACGTCGGACACGCGGATTAAAAGTGGGACCAGTGATTTCCCTACACCCCCTATAGGGGGTGATCACCCCCCCTAAAATGTCAAATGGCCCGCCGAACTTGAGTGAAATAGTTGAACCTAAATATATGTTTAACCGTAAATATATACTATTGGCTTAACACTTCATGTGGTACCTTTTGAGTTTTAGATACAGTCTATCCTTACATCTTTATCACAGTTTAAGCACGTTTATTTCGTAACAATTGAATTATACCGGTATATCTTATGTATACGTATGGGTATTAGGATTACACACCGCAGTATTTTAGATATCAGCCGTATATTAAGAAAACTTAAAGATGTCACAAAACGAAAACTAGTCACTGGAAACAGACATTTTCAGATGAATGGCAGCGTTTTTATTTCTTTATTGAAAAGAACCAAACTTCAGCGATTTGTCTTTCTTGTCAACAAAATATTTTAGTTCTGAAGGAATACAACTTTATACGCCATTGTGATCAGTTGACGCGCGTATTTCAAAATTTAATTCATTGCTTAATTCATACAAAAGTCAAACAAACATGTTCAAAAAAATGTTAAATGTGTAACAAAACAAGCCATAAGTAGCCATTCATACGATGCCATGTGCTAGATGAACAAGTAACTTCATCAAGTACTTGCTTGAAAGCCGTGCTTGGTATTTATTTCTCGGGAATTCTATCAGCCAAATATTATAATTATTAATTTCTTTACATAATAAACTGCGATGCTATGTCTAGCTTAGAGCCTATTTTGGTGTCTATTTCTCAAAATTTTCTCAGGGCGCTTAAGCGCGCCCTGAACCCCAGCCGTGTCGTCGCGCACTTTTCCTCGCTCTCTTTTCTGGCCCTACAATTTTATTCTGCTGTGTATTTTGGCTCGCCGTCAATCAACTTGGGGGACCCCTCATGTACATTGTTTCTTAAATACATACAAATTTTTTAATAATACAAATAGTTTCATCGCTAATAGCAAATTATTTACCACCCCCTAAATTTCGAAACACCCCCCCTAAATATATAAAGCTGGGGAACATACTAAGTGGGACACGACATTTTTGAGATGATGCTTCTTTTTCCGCCGTCATTATCTTTACATGCCCAAAGTTTATTTTATTGTTACGTTCTCTAATTTTAATACGTTTAATTTAGCCCCACTTTATTCCTCGACATTTTCACCTAATTAATGCCGAGAGCAGATTATATTTGTTAATTCAGGAAAGTTTGTAGATATGGCTTTGCATATACAGTACCGTAGCTTTTTCGTCGTCGCTTCCAATTGTTAGTAATTTTGTATCGACATCTTAGGCGGTTCACCAATCGTTTCGTTTGTGACGGATAAATTCTACTTGAACGCGGTCGCTGTCACGTGAATCTCGCACAGATTGAAGAAAGTTTTGTCCACGGTCAGTGGCGTTCGGCCTGCACAAGATCTTTTGATGTCGCTGATTCGATCTCTGAGAAAAATTGTCACACCGATACCGGTACTGATAGGGATAAAGAAAATAACTACGTTAATTTGGCGGCCACACTAATATTGAAATCGACCACTTTATTCAGTTATTTCAGCCCACTTGACAGTCTGACATAAATCAAAACAAATTATATAAAAGCACTTGCCATGATTTGTAATAACTTGTGAATAATTATAAAATTATGTTTTTTCATGCTAAATAATTAAAAATAAACTATGTAATTTGTATTACGAAATCAACAAATGAATTATTGGAACTCCCTGGATTATATGGAATATTATATCTGATGGAATTATCTTGATATTACTGATATATATGTTTGTTCACTTGCGGTACACAATATATCTTTATTTATATTTAATTTATTTATTATTTACATATTGAATAATCCACATTGTGGATCATTTAAAAAAAAATAAATAAATAAATCAAAACAAAGAGTCAAACAGAATACGCGTCAACTCGCACACCGATAAAGATTAAAGAAGAGTGACAGAAACAATTTGATGGGATATATTGCTGTATTTAGATATTTGTCCATATTTCTTAGTTCAGGCTTAAATGTCGAATTTATATAATACTGGTGATATAGTCTAGTACAGTACCGGTAGTAATACTGCAATATGAAATAGTGGAAACATTGCAAATACAAACTTATACCGGTAGATATTTAATAGAATATAAGACTAAAAGAGTAGTCTTAAATATTAGAGTACTGTATTCAACTACCTTCTCAGATACCTAATAACTGTATTAAGTGTCACCGTACCTGTACTTGACTACAAAATAGATAGTTCAGCAGTTGGACTAAATACTGAAATAGGGAAAAATAGTTTACCGGTATCATAATCGACATATTCTGGAAATTCTGAAATAAATTTAGAACTTGATTATTGAATTGAGAAAGTGCAATGATGAGTAGACTAGCACCCATAAAAATTGTAGTTAAGATAAGTATTAATAATACATACTCGGCCATCAGTCCACAGAGTGATATTTTACTGTAGAGCATTGCGTTGTGCATAAGTTTAAACATATACGCTGTGCTTCATTCGTGACGAGTTGTCAATTTTCTTTAATTGCATTTAAAAATAGCCTCTTGCAGTCTTGTGTGTAAGTGTATATACAAATATAGTAGTTATACCCAATATTATAAGACCGATTCGGTACACGACACCGCTGTCAGCCTGTACTCCCTATCGAAGTGGTACAAGTTTTTGGTAAATCATAGGATGTACCAGGTTAACGGCCACTGTTTTGTATGTTCTAAACTTGGATATACGACTTTGTTAGGGAAATAATACAGTAGGCCACTAATTTATGTTTTTGGTTGCTAGGTATTATTTAACTGGTAGGAGTTTATTATCTCGGAAAAAGCTCATCAATGCGCTTGTTGATTTATTCCTAATATGTGCGCATGAACTTATATATTAAGGTTGTGGTCATTAAATTGAAATAATTACTATATTCAAGAGGCCGAGAATCAACGTTATTAATTTTCACTACAATAAGCCGAAATGTTTCAATCGATAAGATGTTCTGGTTTCATTTAACACAAAAAGTTATGAGAAGTCGAAACTGTACACGGACAAAGTGAAAAATGAATTATCCTTATTTAAAATTGAAAAGTATTTACAAAGTCTTTGAAACCGCCCGCTAGATTAGCTCAAATAAGTGAAGTGGCACAGCGTGGTATAGTCTTTAATTAAGTCAGCCACATCAAGAGATTTATTTTAAAGTTCAATAACCAAATTTGTTAACCCTGCTGACAAAATACATCATGGTTGGTTGTACTAAACACATTTAACGTTTCAATGCTATGTCGCCATGATTGTTTCGTCATTCATAAGTTGATGAATGAATGGTGATGAATATTACAATTCAACAATACACCAGCACGAGACATCTAAGATTCAACCCACAATATCATATCTTAAGATGATAACGCTGCAATGCTAACAAATTTTGACGTTTTCCAATATCCCCTGATCCAGTTGTCACTCTGGCTTGAAAATTTCTAAGCCTTACTTTGAATCACGGATTTAAGTGCTTTTTTTTAAAAAAAAATGTGTATCGTCGGCAACCCTAACGGTATAGAATTTAGGTGATTATGTACTTTCGTTGTCTTGAATTAATTCTTTCAACCAATGGATATCGAATTTCAGCCATTGCGTGGCGAATTCCAACCAAGCCCTTCATCGTTCTGTAATTAATTGAGCTTCATCGATACTTCAAATACCTAACGTATTTTCACTCATCTTCCCAAAAATGAATTGAGTTGTTTGAAATAGTAAAACGTAAAGACGCCTCATGATTTACATCGAACGTAAACAGTTATGAATCCGGACTTCTCAACCAAAACACACTGCTAAAATATAGATTCGTTAGAAAAGTTTTAATCTTTGTACAAGCATGTAAAGATTTGTCCAACATAAAATGATTAAATCAAGTTGTAAATAATGCAAATTGCATATGTATCAAGATGTCACACACGTAAGAAGTGGAGTTTACATGAACATTCAGTTTTTGTTTCATTTCTAAAAAAGACTTTGATCACAAGCGACTGAAGATACTTAACTTTCATCATTTGTAAGTGTTGAAATCTCATCCATGGCTACCTTTCCGTTTCAATTCACTTTGAGAATTTCTTGTTACTGCTTGTTTTTATGATGGTCATGGCGAGTTCTTCGGAAAGCAAATGGCAAAAAAAGACTTTGTCTGATAACAACCCAAATTATCCATCAGTGAACTCAGTTTCGTGGCGGACCATAGTTGTCAACCTTTTTATTTTCTTTTTATTCAATTTTTTTTTTTTTAAATTTTTTTTTTTTTAATTTTTTTTATTTTTTATTTCATTTTTATTTTGTTTTTTTTTTAATTTTAATTTTTTTTTTTAATTTTTTTTATGTTTTTTTATAACAATTTTTTTATTTTCGGTTTTTTATTTTATTTTTTATTTTTATTTTCAATTTTACGCGTGACAACGATGGGCCACCATACTACAGACTGGGCAGAATCGGTAAAAGCAAGTCAAAGATGGATGACGAAAACTCATTTTCTTCTCAGTTGTAAAGTTTGTTCTATTCGTGTTTGTTTCTTAATTTATTACTGTAAGATAGTTAGTTTGTAACTGCTTTGAAATGACGTAGCCTTTTAACATGAAAATGAATGCTCGTAAACAAGTGTCCTGCTGTGACCTTACAGTTGACATTTTATCGACGAAAATCGAGTTACCATAACAAAACTGAGAAGAGAAATAAACTGGTCTATTATATATGAACGTGTTTGCTGTCATCAAAGTAAATCTTTCACCATTGATGCATTACTGAGACATTCGACCGAAAGCCCAATCAAAAAGAGAAAATTTGAACTTACGCAGTCAACAGAAACCAAAGATGATTCATTTGATTCTGGTTTTGCATCATCTGGAGAAAACGACGAATCGATTATTGCATGTCCTGGTGCAAATGACAGTGATACCCGTTACAGCCATAAAGCAATAGCTGTGACGGCGGGTGCAAATGTCTGTGTGGCAAAAGTACATAGGTGCAACGTGCAAGTGTATAGTGGGTGCAAATGTACGTGGGTCAAAAGTACATAGGTGCAAATGTACGTTGATGGAATTGTACGAGGGTGCAAATGTCCATGGGTGCAAATGTTTATGGATGCAATCTGTATTTGGGTGCTAAAATCCGAGGGTGTAATTGTTAATGGGTGCAAATGTCCATGAGTGAAAAGTATGCGGATGCAATTGTCCTGAGTGGAACCCAATGATTATACTGTCTTCTCGTATAGTTTAATTGCAGTAATCAAATATTAGTTCAAAAATAGCTGTGGTAGACAAGGCTAAACTTTTCTACCGGTAATTTTAAATAAAAGGGTTGAATATTTTGAATTAAAATGATTGTTTGAAACATGTAAACCAGTTTAAGGCGCTAACTCGCGAAATAACCATTAAAATGAGCACCGAAAATGTTGCAAATGTAAAATAGGATAGGAAAAACCAATGGGCCAATGCTCGGGAAAACATCGATTGTTGACTCACTATCTCCACAGTCATTCACACAAGACTTAACACATAATGTCCACTTTTAAATAAATAATAACACATCGAGAAAAACCTGTGTAATAACGCCAACCCTGCAACTTGGTCCTGCTGCCCCCTTCAACGTGATGCCCGGGGCGGCTGCCCATTTCGTCGCCCTCTAGGCACGCCGCTGGTCGATTTAAATACTCTCGTATTACATTGTAAGCTACGGAGCTGGAAGACTTTTTTTCTCTAGTTGCAACTTGAAGTAAGTAATTTCCAGCGATACCACGGTAAGATCACATAAAATTGCCTTGGAACTATTTGGGACGTAACAAGTTCAAATTATAAATTATTACTTCAAACGTCACTCCGTGGTTGATCGGTTAATTTTACCCAGTTAACGGTTAAAGGGTTTTCTCCAAATCCCAGCCCTATCGACGGGCCAAACCATGACCAATTGCTAGATTTACAATATTAACGAGAACCAAGAACACCTGTTGGATTTGACTTCCATCATCCAGCTTAATTTGCTATAGTAGGCCAGCCATTCCAGTATATATATATATCACTTCTCTTTCTTTCATTTTCAGAGAAAAAACGACGGAAAGCTCAGTCCGACAGTGATAACTTACAAATCTTTTATTCAAACCTCAGCCGGTGTCTCGAAAATGTCGTGTCCCATTTGTCCTATTCGTACTACTTGTCTCATGTGTCCTAATTGTTCCACATATCCTACACGTTCTTGCCTCCAACCTCTCTTACGTGTCCCACTTGTTCTACTTATCCCAAAGCTGTGAATCCGATCCAATATCGACGCCGATATTTTAAAAAGCCGGTATTGATGGCATTTCGATACTGATTTTCCTAATATTACATAACAATCATCTGGATTGTAACGGGCAGGCAGGATAAAACAATTATCTGCAAACTGTATTTACAGTGATCAATATTTCAGCTTGACACACACACACAGGATGTGAGAAAAAAGAGAAAAGCTTTAAAAAAATTTTACAGTAAACAAAAACCAAAACAAAAAATGAATACGTAAAAAAGAAACTGGATTAAAAGATAAGAATTGTAATCAGGAATATGAATTGTTTGCCACACCATTTTAATAATTTATAAAAGTTCCCAAATTGAATACTGATTATGTAAACAAGGGTGAACACTATCTAATAGAAAGACAAAATAATTCTCCAATCTTATTATAGTTGGAGTCAAATGCCAACTTGCCCAACCAAAGTTGGATGCACGAAGAGGTGGGTTAAACCGCTTTATTCGCCAATGAAGAGAAATAATATTGCCATAAAATCACTCAAATTTGAACATATATATAACACGATTTACACTTTAGATAACAAGTCAACTACACAGCAGTAGGCCTACCTTACCTAAACATAAAGTGCATGCTTACATTAAAAGGTACAAGTATCATTGGTACAAGTGGTCCGAGTAATATTAGTAAAAGTGGAAGCTCAAAAGGTGGAAAAAGTTATAATGAATATCAATGAAAATGTCTAAATTTTGTGAATGTGTCAACTCTGTTCTTGAAATTTACTTCTGTGTTTCTCCAGATGTTGTTTTTACTGTAAAAATATACGTCATAGATGTGGTTTTCTGGTCATTTACAGTAGGGATTTTAGAGCGGCGTTTTCCTTATTTTAAGGAAAATTTTAAATGTATGCGCAGAAATGGAAAATATTAGTAATTATTATTAAGTTGATTAAAGGTTCGGGATTTGAAAAAATATTGATGATTTCATGGCGTATGATTAGAAATTTATATCTATTCGATAAATCCAAATTTAAAGCGCGTGTCAGTGCCACACATCAGATGATAATAAAATCTTATCGGTACATCGGTTGTAATCTAATATTTTTGTACCCTGATGAAATGCTGCATCGGCTAAAACAATTGCGATTTATATTGGATAATCGGTAATTTGTTGATATGATTAAACGTAATTATGTTAACGTAGATAAGTCTTATCATATTAAAACCGAGTCGCTTATATACAAAAGGAATATCTATATTTTATCTATTATTTGTAACTAAACGCGTGCGATTTATCTTTATTGGCTCTATGACATTGATAAGTTGAAACAACTATTTAGAAATAGTGCGCTTATCAGCTAGCTAATACCATATAAACATACCAGTCATTCTACAACATTTCATTCACAATACTAAGCGATACCAAGATATACAAAATGATTTCTTACCGCCATCCTTACCTAGCTGTCTCGAATGCTCAATGGACGCCATTTCTTCGTCTCAATTACGCAGGAAGTCCGGATTCAGAAGATATTATAACAAAAAAGAGAAAATTTTCATCTGATGAAAATTCGGGTTTTAAGAAAGTTACAATTGTAAATCAGGAGACACAAGATACAAAAATTCTAGACACTTCAGAGTCGCCCGAACAAGTGGCAAAATTTAATAACCGACAAAGAAAAGCAAAAACTCTTTTCACTATCGACGCATTACTGGGACATTCGAACGAAAGCCCAAGCAAAAAGAGAAAACTAGAGCTTACACAGTCAACAAAAACCAAAAATGATTCATTCGATTCTGGTTTTGCATCGTCTGAAGAAAACGATGAATCGATTATTGCATGTACTGATGCAAATGATAGTGGAATTTGTGTCAGTGAATCACGAGAAGAATATGGACAAATTCATTCCGTGCCAACAGACTTACCTCAACCCAAAGTAAGAAACAATCGACAATTACCGCATCCAGAATACTACAGTCGTATATATATTCCTATCAATGATGTATATTATTTATATTCTGGTTTAAACAAAATTGTGCAGCAGAATTGGATGAATCACAGCCAACATGCGATATCGTATGCACCGATTGAGACTACAGCTTTTGTTGGTCAAGGCAATACTCAGTCGAAAATGTATTCACATTTATCGAAACACAGACCTCAAAGAACAGAAAAGGCTAAAAGAACAAGAACTACATTCACTCAGAAACAATTAGAACGTTTGGAAACTGAGTTCAACAATCAACAATACATGGTCGGAATTGAAAGACGAATACTTGCTAAAAACCTCAGACTCACAGATGCGCAAGTAAAAGTTTGGTTTCAAAATAGAAGAATCAGATATAGGAATGAGAAGAAGCGCGAACCCCAAGAAGAAGAAAACAACAAATTGGACATTCACAAACGCGAAGCGATCGGAAAATGTTAGGATTTCTTATGATCACAGATTTAAGTTCCATAGTTTCTTAGAGGTTGTCTTTGTAATATTTGTTCATCAAATGTTTCATGAAATAAAGTTTCTAATAAATAATATTGAAATAATTCTATTTTGTTGTCAGGTATAGCGTGTGTGTGTGTATAGCTTACTTCCGTTAGATAAATGTCAAACTAATATTCAAATTCATCAACAAGATGCAGATTATTTATTTCAAGAATGTGATCCATTGTCTTGAGATTTATTGGCACAATCTTTCATCGCTTCCAAAGCCATTAATTGTAGTTACATAGCTCTTTCTAAGTCTACAAACTTTCGACAAATTTCTCTACTCGAGACGCATCTACTAAAATCGTCCTGCTTCCTTTTCACCTACTTTTCAAAGCATTTTTGTGATGGCTGATAAAAGCTAGTTTAAGCTCAGGCACGTCAGATAAATTCCATTCACAAATTTGGGGACTTGTTAATTGATATAAACTGTTTTTGACCCATTTACTAATAAATAAAATGATCATTTCATGTAAACTAAATAAATGACAATATGTACCTATTTTTATCATTACATGGCGTAGGAAAAGGGTGATCGACATTCTGTCTAGTGTAACTTTGTGCACTTGCATTTTGTATTGTACAACATTTGTCATTTTATACCTTTTGAATTCGAAATTTTTTTCTCTTATTTTACGCAATATTGGAAATATTGTGAAGTTCACTTGGTTTTGTGAAAACGAATGAAAGATTTAATCTTTCTGTGAAAGAGCTGCATGCTTCAAGAAACTGTTCCAGTATTGTTATTTTTCTCAAGTTGTATATGGCAGGGCTTCCAAAGCTTATAAACTCGCGACTCCTTCCAACATGTTGAAATTTTCCGCGAACGTGTTCACGTTTAAAAAGCTGAACAGTTCGAAGTATGCAAACGCGACGCTTCTCCCATCCTATGCATTCTTTCTGAATCGTTATATTGATGTTTTGCACTGGTTTTATTATTTGTGTGTTTGATTCAAAAATATTGGGAAGTTAAATAGATGTAGTACCTTGAGTGAAACTGCGGTACCCTGCGAGTCACGACCCCCAGTTCGGGAAGTCCTGGTACAGGTGTTATTGGTAGTTAAGAGTGAACCAACAAATTTGAAAAAATAGTTAAAAATATAAACTAACAATGATTTGTGTCTACTAGCTCGCTAAGCTAGTTATTGCCTCATAATGCTTGACTTTGGGTTAAAGGTCATCAGTGTGAAAGACTGTTTTTTAAAGTTCCCTTTCGGTATACATCTCTTGTGTCATGAATAGAAATTACAATCTTCGGTTTAATCGCGGGTATAGTTCTACACCAATTTCCACGGCCTCAAAAATTCCTTCATCTAATTTATTGTTCAAGTAAATCATTCATGCATCTTACCCAGCTGGATATTTTTGAATATATATTCGAAATATGGAAAAACATGAACAAGTGCTAAATAAGTGAGGACTAGTGGGATGCGTCAGAACATGGGACAAGTGCGCGGCGGCGGTGTGGTTCATCGTGTTACGCTATCCACCGCACCTCTAATTACTCTGAGTGGATTCGCAGGTTCGAATCCCATGGAGGGATGACTATTGGCTTTGTGACAGGGGATTGCTGGTCTCGCCGCCGTAGGATGGTTCAAGTAACAGCTGGTCGGTCACAAGTGGTTTGCCATATGGTTAAGTCGTCTTATCGGCTTTCCTCTTTCTCGGGATAAATATATAAATCTTTTCTTATCCTAAGCGGGATACGTCGGACACGCGTGGCATATTTATCAGTGTAGATGAGGGGGGGGGGGGCAAATTACGGTCCGCGTAACGATTTAAAATGGCCCGCCGAACTTGAGTGAAATAGTTGAACCTGAATATATGTTTAACCGCAAATATATACTATTGGCTTAACACTTCATGTGGTTCCTTTTGAGTTTTAGATACCGTCTATCCTTGCATCATTATCACAGTTTAAGCACGTTTATTTCGTAACAATTGAATTATACCGGTATATCTTATATATACGTATGGGCAGTGGCGGCGCGTCAATAGAGCCAACCGGGGCAACGCCCCGGTTGTTTTTTTGGTATAGTAAAAAATATTCGAAAAATACCTCAATATCGGTTGCACAGACTGTCTACACTATCCATATTCTCCCGACATTGTTCATTTTTCGCTCGCAAAGCTTTCGCCGAACGTCGACGGGGCGACGCCGATTTTGCCCCGGTTGCTCATTGTATATCGTATTCTCTCTTTTATCTTCCACTCGCCGCGTTTGTCTCGTTTGTTTTCTGTTTCTTTTACTAAATCATCGGGCCGATCGGGGTTAGCCCCGAAATTATGACGACACAATGCCGACGTTTCTTACAACAACGTGTTGACATATTCACGCATTCCTTCTCGTTCGTTGGTTGCTTGAAGAGTTGATAGTTTCCTCGCCTTCGTTTTTGTCGCTTGTTTCGCTATTTGAATCAGTTAGAGACCTTTAGTCCATTTGCTTTCGATTTTCCACATTCCTTTTGAGCTCCTCACTTCTTTCCGGCTTCGCATTTCTTAGCCTTAGACCTCATAATGAATAAGGTTGATGCACTACTTCGCACTCCGTTTTCGCAGCTGCCGCTGGAACAAAAATTAGAGGTACAACGTCTTGGGCCTTATCAACCAAAAAATTGTTCACTGGAACAATCCCATGACGGAGGAAAGCGTCGGCGTACATTCTGCGCAAAAACTTGGTATAAAAAACACGAATGGTTGTGTTACAGCGAGGACAAAAATGCACTTTTTTGTTTTTATTGCCTACTTTTTGCTACCGCCCGTGACTCACGTTGGTGTAAATTTGGTTTTAGAGATCTTAAACATCTTTCCGAGCGTGCCAGGGATCATCAATCTTCTATGGAGCATCTGGACAATGCAGTAAAATACCGAACATTCGGAAATGTTGATATTGCAGCACAGTTGGATGAAGGACGCGCGGTTTCTATTCGTCGGCACAACCAAAACGTCGAGAAAAACCGCCATGTTCTCGGTCGATTGATAGATGTTTTGAAGTTCATTGGTTGTCACAAGCTGTCCCTCCGTGGGCACGATAAACGGGCTGGCTCTTCTAATAGTTTTTTTTTTTTGGATATGGTGGAATACACCGCATTCCTAGATACAGTATTGAGAGATCATCTTGATGCCGCAACTGTTTCGAAAGGGACATCTAAGGATATACAAAATGATTTGCTCGACTCAATGTATAAAATTTATTTACAACATTTGGCTCTGGAAATTGAGAATGGCCAGTTCCTTTCGATTCAGTCTGACGAGACAACTGACATCACGTGCGTTTCCCAACTGGCTGTGATTTTTCGGTTTGTGAAAGATGGTAAACCTACCGAGAGATTTCACAGCTTTGTCCCAATCGTTGATCGCACGGCTTGCGGGATATCGGCTGTACTGAAAGAAGTGTTACAGCCTTACAACGCGAAGTCAAAATTGATAGCTCAAACTTATGACGGCGCGGCAGTCATGAGTGGGTCGAAACATGGTGTTCAAGTTTATATAAAAGAAGATTTTCCTCATGCGCATTTTTTACATTGTTATGCACACCAATTTAACCTCGTTATTAAAAATATGTGTCTTGATACCCCTCTCGTCCGCATTTTTTTTGCAAATGTTTCGGGGTTTTCTTAATTTTTTTCCGTTTCGCCGAAGCGCTCTGACCTCCTTCGCCAGATATGTAGCCGCCGTCTCCCAGCTTGTGCACCAACACGTTGGAACTTCCAATCACGCGTGGTGCAGGGCGTGTCCGAAATTAGGTCTGAGCTCATTGAGTGTTTCAATGGCATTCAGAGCTCTCCGGTTTGGGACTAACGCTCTGTGAGGGAGGCGGCAGGTCTAAAGCGTCTGCTAGAAGATGGTGAGTTTTCATTTTTTCTCGCTTTTTTCTCCACAATATTCTATCACGTGGATGTATTATACGGCGCATTGCAGTCAAGGCTAATGGATGGAGCGTCTGTGCAGTCGTGTATTTCAGACTTCTGCGATGCTGTATCTCGTATCCGGGAAACAATAAAATACGACGACACATGGAGTGCTTCTTTACGCCGCGGGCAAACAACGCAGCGTTTGATTTTGTCTGCAAAGGAATGCTGTGACATTCTGGTGAATCAAATAGGCGATCGTCTGCGCACTGAACACCTTGCCGCGTTCTCTTTGATGAACCCCAAAAATTTTTCAAAATTTGCACGTCAATTTCCCATCCATTTGTTGGCTACTGTCTCCAAATTTTACCCCCTGATAAACGTGGGTAAATTGGAAAATGAATTGCGATGTATATACACCAATCAAATTTTTTTGAACATCACATCAACTTGCGCGCTCTATGGGTTCCTCATAGATAACACTCTAGTAACTACCTTTGCGGCGTCTGCAAAATTTCTGGACATCATTTTGACGACGCCTATTTCTTCCGCCGACGCAGAGCGAACATTCAGCACGCTGAAGCGTATTAAAACGTATCTCAGAAACACAATGAAGCAAGATAGATAAATTCCTTGGCTGTTTTATCCATTCACAGAGACGTTATTTCTGGGATGCATGACTATAATCAGCGCGTTATTGAGCATTTTGCTTCCAAAAAACCGCGGCGTGTTGCATATATGTTCAAGCAGTAGAAGTCTAGCAGCATATATATCTATGAGTGAGCGACGCATGTCCTTTCTTTGCATTACCTTTCCTTTCTTCATGGTAACGTTTTAAACCTTATTTTAGGTTTTGTCTGCTTTCCCGAAGTTTCTGTTAATATGTCATTGTATTTATCTGGGTAAATATTGCCTTTCCTTTTGAAAAAGGTTTCAAAATAAACTATGTCTATATTTATTAATCCCTTGACTTGGACCAGTTTTAAAGACACTTTCTTATCGTTAAAAATTGTCGTTTTTGCCGATTGGTTGTTACCGATGGAATGGTTTTTATACTCATAAAATGATGGGAGAACTTACAGCGCTCATCCTGTCCCCGTAGATGGGGGTGACTTGGTCCCGCAATAGCTTGCCCCGGTTGTCAAAATGACCACGCGCCGCCACTGCGTATGGGTATTAGGATTACACACCGCAGTATTTTAGATATCAGCCGTATATTAAGAAAACTTAAAGATGTCACAAAACGAAAAATAGTCACTGGAAACAGACATTTTCAGATGAATGGCAGCGTTTTTATTTCTCTATTGAAAAGAACCAAACTTCAGCGATTTGTCTTTCTTGCCAACAAAACATTTTAGTTCTGAAGGAATACAACATTATGCGCCATTGTGATCAGTTGACGCACGTATTTCAAAATTTAATTCATTGCTTAATTCATACAAAAGTTAAACAAACATGTTCAAAAAAATGTTAAATGTGTAACAAAACAAGCCATAAGTAGCCATTCATACGATGCCATGTGCTAGATGAACAAGTAACTTCATCAAGTACTTGCTTGAAAGCCGTGCTTGTTATTTATTTCTCGGGAATTCTATCAGCCAAATATTATAATTATTAATTTCATTACATCAAGTACTTGCTTGAAAGCCGTGCTTGTTATTTATTTCTCGGGAATTCTATCAGCCAAATATTATAATTATTAATTGCGATGCTATGTCTAGCTTAGAGCCTATTTTGGTGTCTATTTCTCAAAGTTTTCTCTGGGCGCTTAAGCGCGCCCTGAACCCCAGCCGTGTCGTCGCGCACTTTTCCTCGCTCTCTTTTTCTGGCACTACAATTTTATTCTGCTGTGTATTTTGGCTCGCCGTCAATCAACTTGGGGGACCCCTCATGTACATCGTTTCTTAAATACATACAAATTTTTTAATAATACAAATAGTTTCATCGCTAATAGCAAATTATTTACCACCCCCTAAATTTCGAAACACCCCCCCTAAATATATAAAGCTGGGGAACATACTGAGTGGGACACGACATTTTTGAGATGATGCTTCTTTTTCCGCCGTCATTATCTTTACATGCCCAAAGTTTATTTTATTGTTACGTTCTCTAATTTTAATACGTTTTATTTAGCCCCACTTTATTCCTCGACATTTTTCACCTTATTAATGCCGAGAGCAGATTATATTCGTTAATTCAGGAAAGTTTGTAGATATGGCTTTGCATATACAGTACCGTAGCTTTTTCGTCGTCGCTTCCAATTGTTAGTAATTTTGTATCGGCATCTTAGGCGGTTCACCAATCGTTTCGTTTGTGACGGATAAATTCTACTTGGACGCGGTCGCTGTCACGTGAATCTCGCACAGATTGAAGAAAGTTTTGTCCACAGTCAGTGGCGTTCGGCCTGCACAAGAGCTTTTGATGTTGCTGATTCGATCTCTGAGGAAAATTGTCACACCGATACCGGTACTGATAGGGATAAAGAAAATAACTACGTTAATTTGGCGGCCACACTAATATTGAAATCTTTATTCAGTTATTTCAGCCCACTTGAAAGTCTGACGGTTGGCGCGGCGGTTTGGCTCAACGGGCTAAGCGGAATAGGGTATCCCTAAAACCAGGCACTTGCGAATTCAGGCACCATTTCAGGCACTTTGATATTTTTTTATTTTTACCGTACGTTATTGGGGTTTCCAATTTACCTGACAAGATAATTAGACTTTAAATAATTTTTTGCATCTCTATATTGCAATAAAACAACATTATTTCCAATTTATTAGAGTATAAATAATTTTTCAATAATAAAATGTGGCAACATTGATTACAAAATACAGAAATCAGGCACTTGTGAAATTTCAGGCACTTGGTCAAAACCTATCTTACAATGTATCTGATTACTCTAAAGCAGAAAATTAAATATATACACTTTGTATGGTTGAATTTACAACATTTTGGTAAAATACAATACCGTTTGTGACTGATGGAGACGTGTCATATTTCGCAAGTGCCTGATTTTTCATTTTTCTCGGTGACAGTTGCCATATCTTTTCGCAATTATTTTCTTAAATTATTTGCGTCAGCACTTACTATTCTTTGCTTTCTAACGCAAATTCATTGTTCCACAACAATTTGAGCGTTTTTAATATTGCAATGAGCAATACCATTTGACAACATATGGTCAACCATCGTACTTTCTGGGTTTATTTGAAATTGAATATGAATAATAAAATCTGGCAACCTTAAGCACAAAATACTAAAACCAGGCACTTGTGAAATTTCAGGCACTTCGTAAAAACCTATTTCTCGATGTTTTTACTTACTTTGAAGCAGAAAACTAAAATATACACTCTTTTGTATGATTGAAATGACGTCTTTTTGGTAAAAAACAAGAACGATTGGGACTGGTGATGAGGGGTCAAATTTCGCAAGTGCCTAATTTTTCATTTTTTTCGATAACAGTTGCCATATATTTTCGCAACAATTTTTCTAAATTATTTGCGTCAGAACTTACTAATCGTTGCTTTTTAAAATAAATTCCTAGTTCTACAACAATTTCAGCGTTTTTACAATGAGCAATATTATTTGACAACATATAGATAACCATGGGATTTTTTGGATTTATTTGAAATTGAATAGGAACGATAAAATCTGGCAACCGCAAGCACAAAATACTAAAATCGGGCACTTGTGAAATTTCTTCAGGCACTTTGTAAAAAACCATTTCCCGATGTTTTTGATTACTTTAAAGCCGAATATCCAAATATACATATTTTGTATGACTGAATTTGGTATTTTTATTGTCCAGAACAAGAAGAACTGTCACTGGTAGGAATGAGGCAAATTCAGCAAGTGCCTGATTTTTTGGTTTTGTCAATGGTAGTTGCCATATCTCTATAATTTTTGTATTTTTTTTATATGTTGTTTCCCTATTGCGTTTTTTTATAAAAGTCAATGTTTGTATGAGAGCTCCACTTAGCATAAATGGAATTAAAATTTTAACATCAGTATCTACATCCGGAAATCGGTATTTAATTAAACCAATCACGCTTTTGCAAAACTATTTGAATATTGTAAAGTTTGAATGACATTGTGTTGTTTATTTTTATTAATTCAAAAGTATGACATATCTATTATTTAAATACGGGTTTAAATTTGACAGATCTGTAGGGAATATTAGTTATTCAGACGACATCTTTATAGTAATGTTCGGAACCCTTGAAATTGGTTCAAAACTTCTTCTAATTTGTTATAAACATTTCGACGTAATATATTACCCAGGTAGTAGCAATCGCATCTTTATAAACAACCTAATTTGTCTTCTGGCAATATTAGTTCGAAATTCCAGTTTTAATTGTTATCGGACGACGATTTTAATAATGTAATTTGGCCTATGACTTCATATAAACTACATAACAGAAACAATTGACTTATGTCGTATAGAATCTTTTATAATACGTATCCAAGTCACATTATCCCCTAATAGAACATAATTTACCGTTCACAAAATGTATAAAAGCCTGTGCAAAATCTATATTGACAACCAGCGGTGTTCAACCACGGCTACAATTAAGATATTCAATCACTTGCTGTTGCTGTTGTATAATATTCTTTACAACCTGAAGATCTGACTGTAATATCTTTTCATGGATAGTTTATGGAATGGATTTCATGGATAGTTTACGTAGAATTATTTGTACATTATTTCATGCTGTAACAGCTAACTGTAAAACACGTAGTTCCTAAATAAGAAGAATGGCTACAGGATGGTAAATACGAAATGGCAATGTCACCTAAACAAAATTCGCTCGGCGAATGACATCAGGTAGCTGATATGCCCAAAGTTAGGCTTAAAAGCATCGTTAAACGAATGTTACAATAAAAATCCTTCAATATTCAACACGCCAGTAGTCAGTCAACGAATTTTTTTGCGTTATTCAAAAAGTTACAAATATATAAAAACGTAAAACAGTAAATGTTTTTAATGTCACAGAAGCCGTATTAAACTCTCGATTATAGATCTTTCTCCATCAGTAATTGGGGATATAAATTTGAATTTAAATTTATTAAGGAGATAAAACATTAAAAACACTTCACAAAGGAAGTGTATGAGTGAACACTAATCGAAGCTTTCAGTTTGAAAATTATTAGAAATATTGAGTATCCAATGAAAATCCTCACTATTTGTTCTATTTTGACATGATATGATTTACGTATCTTGCAATCAGGTAAAACCACAGATCTAAGAATTGAAAATTTTAAATGTCAGTTCTGAAATTAAACATGAAAAGGTTTCGTGTATATTTTCCTACTTTTATATGTCGGGCGTATAGTATCTTCATGTCGCGAATGAGCATCAGAATAGGTTGTGCAGAAAATGGTGCTCCCGTAGTATGTGCACAAAGTTGGCACACAACCCGAACATAGTATGTGTACCAAGATAGAGGTATTAGGTTGTGCGCCATCTTGGAGCACATAGGCTACTACGGGAGCGCCCTGAAAATACCCACAGTTGCAACACCAACTTACCGAATACAAATTTTACACTTCCACAATTTCGCTTTCGATACTTTCTCATATGTATCATGATACCAACGCTTGCAAACGCAGCATTGGTATTGTACGTGCTCCCGTATACAGTTCGCGCTTTAACAGACACTCCAATTATTATTTTCCAGAAAGCAAAATTCATGCATCGGAATGTCAGAGTATATGAGTGGCGACGATGCAGTGCGACAACGTTCCAAATGTGATTGAATTTTTGTTGACTCCGCCTTGTTCAATCTTCCATTTGGGCGTTTTGAAGAGCTATGTACTCACTTCAAATATAAATACTTGCACCATCTTCGGGCAGACGTCGAATTGAAATTAGCGATAAGAATAGCACTCAATATACATCGGATTGTCTTAAAAACATTTTACCGAGAAAGCAAAGTATAGTAAGTACTAAGTTCTGACGAAAATGATTTTATTAAAAGTATTGCAAAAATATATGGCAACAGTAATCGAAAAAAATGAAAAATCAGGCACTTGCGAAATTTGACCCCTCATCACAAGTCCCAATCGTTTTTCTTTTTTACCAAAAAAGACGTCATTTCAATCATACAAAAGAGTGTATATTTTAGTTTGCTGCTTCAAAGTAAGTAAAAACATCGAGAAATAGGTTTTTACAAAGTGCCTGAAATTTCACAAGTGCCTGGTTTTAGTATTTTGTGTTTGCGGTTGCCAGATTTTATCATTCCTATTCAATTTTAAATAAATTCAAAAAGTACGATGGTTAATTATATGTTGTCAAATAATATTGCTCATTTTAAAAACGCTGAAATTGTTGTACAACTAGGAATTTATTTTAAAAAGCAATGATTAGTAAGTTCTGACTCAAATAATTTAGAAAAATTGTTGCGGAAATATATGGCAACTGTTATCGAAAAAAATGAAAAATCAGGCACTTGCGAAATTTGACCCCTCATCACCAGTCCCAATCGTTCTTGTTTTTTACCAAAAAGACGTCATTTCAATCATACAAAAGAGTGTATATTTTAGTTTTCTGCTTCAAAGTAAGTAAAAACATCGAGAAATAGGTTTTTACGAAGTGCCTGAAATTTCACAAGTGCCTGGTTTTAGTATTTTGTGCTTAAGGTTGCCAGATTTTATTATTCATATTCAATTTCAAATAAATCCAGAAAGTACGATGGTTGACCATATGTTGTCAAATGGTATTGCTCATTGCAATATTAGAAACGCTCAAATTGTTGTGGAACAATGAATTTGCGTTAGAAAGCAAAGAACAGTAAGTGCTGACGCAAATAATCTAGAAAAATTGTTGCGAAAATATATGGCAACTGTTATCGAAAAAAAATGAAAAATCAGGCACTTGCGAAATTTGACCCCTCATCACCAGTCCCAATCGTTCTTGTTTTTTACCAAAAAGACGTCATTTCAATCATACAAAAGAGTGTATATTTTAGTTTTCTGCTTCAAAGTAAGTAAAAACATCGAGAAATAGGTTTTTACGAAGTGCCTGAAATTTCACAAGTGCCTGGTTTTAGTATTTTGTGCTTAAGGTTGCCAGATTTTATTATTCATATTCAATTTCAAATAAATCCAGAAAGTACGATGGTTGACCATATGTTGTCAAATGGTATTGCTCATTGCAATATTAAAAACGCTCAAATTGTTGTGGAACAATGAATTTGCGTTAGAAAGCAAAGAATAGTAAGTGCTGACGCAAATAATTTAAGAAAATAATTGCGAAAAAATATGGCAACTGTCACCGAGAAAAATCAGGCACTTGCGAAATATGACACGTCTCCACCTCCATCAGTCACAAACGGTATTGTATTTTACCAAAATGTTGTAAATTCAACCATACAAAGTGTATATATTTAATTTTCTGCTTTAGAGTAATCAGATACATTGTAAGATAGGTTTTGACCAAGTGCCTGAAATTTCACAAGTGCCTGATTTCTGTATTTTGTAAAAAAATGTTGCCACATTTTATTATTGAAAAATTATTCATACTCTAATAAATTGGAAATAATATTGTTTTATTGCAATATAGGGATGCAAAAAATTATTTAAAGTCTAATTATCTTGTCAGGTAAATTGGAAACCCCAATGACGTACGGTAAAAATAAAAAAATATCAAAGTGCCTGAAATGGTGCCTGAAAAAGTGCCTGAATTCGCAAGTGCCTGGTTTTAGGGAGACCCTTAAGAATACGCTCGCCACCGCACCTCTAATTACTCTGCGTGGGTTCGCAGGTTCGAATCCCATGCAGGGATGGTTATGTGCGAGAGGATTGCTGGACTCCTCGCCGTCGTTGGGTGGTTCACGTAACCGCTGGTCGGTTACGGCTTCCTCCACCACCAAGTCCATGCTTCCGAAAACAAACAATACAGTAAAACCTAATCCCATACCCGACTTGGAATGGTAACCGGACGAGAGGCCGTGGTTCGCCATATGGATAAGCCGTCTTATCGGCTTTCCTTTCCCCCGGGATAAATATGTAAATCCTATCCTATAAATCAAAACAAAGAGTCAAACAGAATACGCGTCAACTCGCACACCGATAAAGATTAAAGAAGAGTGACAGAAACAATTTGATGGGATATATTTCTGTATTTAGATATTTGTCCATATTTCTTAGTTCAGGCTTAAATGTCGAATTTATATAATACTGGTGATATAATCTAGTACAGTAGTAATACTGCAATATCAGAATATGAAATAGTGGAAACATTGCAAATACAAACTTATACCGGTAGACTATATTTAATAGATTATAAGACTGAAAGAGTACCGGTAGTCTTAAATATTAGAGTACTGTATTCAACTACCTTCTCAGATACCTAATAACTGTATTAAGTGTCACCGTACTCGACTACAAAATAGATACCTAGTTCAGCAGTTGGACTAAATACTGAAATAGGGAAAAATAGTTTACCGGTATCGTAATCGACATATTCTGGAATTCTGAAATAAATTTAGAACTTGATTATTGAATTGAGAAAGTGCAATGATAAGTAGCACTCATAAAAATTGTAGTTAAGATAAGTATTAATAATACATACCGGTACTCGGCCATCAGTCCACAGAGTGATATTTTACTGTAGAGCATTGCGTTGTGCATAAGTTTAAACATATACGCTGTGCTTCATTCGTGACGAGTTGTCAATTTTCTTTAATTACATTTAAAAATAGCCTCTTGCAGTCTTGTGTGTAAGAGTATATACAAATATAGTAGTTATACCCGATATTATAAGGCCGATTCGGTACACGACACCGCTGTCAGCCTGTACTCCCTATCGAAGTGGTACAAGTTTTTGGTAAATCATAGGATGTACCAGGTTAACGGCCACTGTTTTGTATGTTCTAAACTTGGATATACGACTGTGTTAGGGAAATAATACAGTAGGCCACTAATTTATGTTGTTGGTTGCTAGGTATTATTTAACTGGTATCTTATAGTATTTATAATGTCGGGATTGTCAGCGTTGGCCAGAGTGAAAGAATATCATAAAATATCTTTTGAGTATATTTCTAATGCACTTGAAATTGATGAAAGTGTGGATGGTGACAAAAATGAAGCAGTGGAATGGTACTTGAAAGGCATTGAAGAGTTGAAAAATGGCCTTGCAGAAGAATGTATAGGTGCTAGTAGAGATGATAAAGACAAAGCGGCGAGGCTTCAAATCAAAATGAAAAGCAATTTGAAAATGGCGGAAGACAGGTTGGAATGTCTCCTTGATGGGCAAGATGAGAACAGACCTTCGGAAGCAAACATTTCAAAATCTAAAACAAGAAAACGAGATGATAAATCACCCAGTACAGGAAATTCAAGCAAGTTGAATATAAAATCTAAATCAAGTCGGATTCCATCGTCCACGACCACTAGAAATGCTGTTGTCACAAAGAAGTCAGAGGAACGCAAGCCCTGGATTCCTTCTTCTAAGCCGACTTCACGCCCATCTCGACCCAGAGAGAGCCCTTCTACCTCTAGGGAACAATATCGAAGTCCAAACTCACAACCAACTGACTCTAACTCTAGAAATACACCATTGCGCCAAAGAGTAAACCTCAAAAATGTTCCAAAAGAAATGGTCAATAAAATATTAGATGATCTTGTTGAACCTGGTTCCCATAATGTTCGCCTTGCAGATGTTGCAGGACAAGAGGTGGCTAAGCAAGCGTTGAAGGAAATTGTGATACTACCTGCTTTAAGGCCTGAATTCTTTACCGGACTAAGAACGCCGGCAAGAGGTTTATTGCTCTTTGGTCCACCTGGAACTGGCAAAACCTTACTTGCAAAAGCAGTTGCCGCAGAAGCGAAATCAAATTTTTTTAACATCAGTGCATCAACGCTAACGTCAAAATGGGTTGGGGAAGGTGAAAAGATGGTACGAGCACTTTTTGGAGTTGCGAAAGAGGTTCAACCAACTGTTGTTTTCATTGATGAAATTGACTCACTTTTGTGTGAAAGAAAAGAAGGGGAATCTGATTCAGTACGTCGACTCAAAACAGAGTTCATGATGAGATTTGATGGCGTTGACTCAAATGCAGGCGATAGAATCCTTGTCATGGGAGCAACAAATCGACCGCAAGAACTTGATGATGCAGTTTTGAGACGATTTCCAAAGCGAGTTTATGTTGGACTTCCAGATGTTTCCGCCAGAATTCAGCTACTCAATATGCTTTTGTCCAAACAAGGATCACCACTTAAGAAATCAGAAATTGAAAAACTAGCTCTTCAAACAGAACTTTATTCTGGATCAGATTTGACAGAACTTGCAAAAGATGCCGCTCTAGGGCCAGTACGTGAAATGTCACAAGATCAACTTGTGTCCATTGACGTTAAACAAATGCGACCGATAAAATATAAGGATTTTGAGCATTCGTTGAAAAAAATCAGACCAAGTGTGTCTACAAAATTACTTAAAATATATGAGGAATGGAATGCTAAATTTGGTGACAATTCGGCTTTATGATAATTTCATTGATTTAAGCTGTGATTAGATTCTTAAAATAGCTTTCAGGTTTAAGATATTGAAGCGTATTATTCTGGAAAGTCACCATTCAGGAAAGATGTTATTATAAATATCCTAAATTTGACCTTTATGTCATGGATTTCTGGATAATATTGGGATTAATATTATGAATTTTGACGATTATTATACAGGGTGTCACAAAAAATAGAACCGAGGCATTTTTGTAATCGGAACATATTCTAGGCGGGACACAACTTTTGTTCAGAGCGTCTTAGATTACTGAAAATTTCAGGTACAAATATATACATACATAAATTCAAGTGTTGTTCTTTTTCTTGGTCACTCTGTATAATAAAACTTTGACAATACAAACTGTTATCGACATTTCCAGGGTATTTTAAAATTTCTGACTCGAGCCATGGTTAAAAAGATATTTCGCTTGATAAATCATCATTTTATTATTGTATTTTTTGTAACCTAGTTCTGTTCCACACTTTTTTCTTGTCAAATATTTCTTTTTATACTAGGGAATATTGTATTGTATTCATCGTTCCTTCCGATATTATATTAATTCTCTTTTCTAAAATGCTATTAAAAGATAGAAATAAGAAGAATGCAATATTCTAACATCATGAAGTAGGTTGCCGTCAATTGAAATATATAAATTGCTATCCTAAACTACATTTTAATAAATTTTTCTCGTATCTCCATTCTGTAAAAAGACTCGATAATATATAGCAGTGCCTGCATAAATATGTTCATAAATAGTTTCATTATTATATATTCCTTGGAAATTTATCTGTTCTGCAGCACAATTGAACTTGGTTATCAAATTATGGTTCTGTAAAAAAGACCATTTTATATGAATTCTCAGCAAAAATAATATTTTTCGTAGAATATTTTTTTTTATTTTGTTTGTGGAGCCGAAGTTCAGATTCAGGAATTTCATCTATTTCACGTCATTCATATTACCTACTTCATTATTTATATATATATTACGGTAGTACATTTGTTAACATTGGTAATGCTAAAAATATAATATTACAAGCATGCATCCAACCCTGTTTTTATGACCTGAATATGTATGAATGCAGGGGTGAAAATAAAGACAATATTTGTAATACAGCAATCTTGCAGTAATATGATGTTTTTACGGTTGATAATCTTTGTTCAATATGTACCATTTCTTCGTTATAACCATGACTAAATTCAATATGAGGAAGTACTTTGACAGGTTTCCATTTATATGAGAATATACAACATTGTTTATTCATAGAAGTGAGTGCTCCTTGTCTAAGATACACCGATGTTATGCTTCTCAAAAAATTTACGGTATATGAAGACACTCAAATGTTTCGAATCTGTTTAGAGATTTTGTACTCTATTCATTTGGGACAATATTTAAAATACTGTTTTCAGTTTCAATTGGAATAAAGTGTTCGAAAAATCATTTCATTCCTAATGTTGTTTCGTATTTTGAAATGGAATTGAATATATATCATGCATTGGGCCTATGAGGAAGAGTTTATGTTGAAAAAATTGCCGCTTTACCAAAATATATTAAAAACTTCCACAGAAATAGGGAATATTATCTGCATTTGCAGTAATTATAATGAGATTGTTTTAATATTATGGCCTGTCATTGGCTAATACAGAAATACACCAATATTCATGTTTTGCATTATTTCTGTGGTTATTACATTTACTGCTCAATTTGATTTTTCAATTTTCATTGTAATTTGTGATTTTTTTATTTAGACGCCCCCAGATTCCCTAGGTATTTATACTATTGTCATCACAACTACTTCAAACGCGATTACGGTTTTCTTCGAATGTTGGCATAAACAAATCTGTTTAGATGGAGGTACATGTGACGTTGACAACGCTGGCTCTGTTTGTGATAATTTTCATTGTTTTCTTGGTTGGATTACTTTTTTATCTTTACCCGGTGAGTTCTTGGACATAGTTGTTTGCCTATTAATGCTTTTCTTCTCAAACGAGAATATAATCAATCTACGGCCCAAAATCGGCAGTGTTTGATTTGAGATTTCCCACTGAGGTCCTATTGTTGACATCAAAGTGTTTTTGAGAGTGATCAATGTGAAGTTTCAAATACTTTTTTGATTTCTTTCGCACGATATCACATTCTTCTAACTATATAATCGAGGTGACATCATCATGGTCACCGATTAGAATCCATCCACTTTTAAATTATTTTTTGATCCAGCCAAACAAATCAACAAATTTAGTTTGCGTTTTTGTCAATTCTCACGGTCTGTCAATGCTAATTCTTAAGATGCTCATTGTTGCATCAGCTTTTATGGTCATACTCTATCCAGCAGTTTCCAACTGGGGCAACAATGCTAGGCCATGAGTACCAAACGCCTCTAGGAGGGGGGGCGGCCTTGAGCCATAAAACTACATTATATTCTATTGATACAGTTATATTGATTTTTTTTTAATTTAATGTTTGTTATTTTAATATTTCAGGCTGGTAAATCATCATCCATACCTGGACCTAATCCATCTGATGCAGTGTAAGTTATTTCATTTTCCAATAATAATTTCAATTCTCACTTTTGGCAGTGGCAGATATTCTTCCATATGCATATATGGTATAATGAGGTTTTTTCATCGACTCATTTGTTAACTGGAAAAGATCAAATTTTTTTTGGGCAAAATGTAAAATTTTAAAAGGAATGTCATTATTCAATTTTCACAGAGAAGGCAACATTAGCGATATTCGAAAAACTGGATCATTACAAGAATATCTTAGTGAACTGCATTCGGATTATGGTGAAGTTACTGCATTCTGGCATGGAACAAAGACTATAGTTTCCGTCTCAAATGTTGAACATTTTGCTCCAAGAAGCCAAGTCTTTGAAATACCAGGTATGTTAACAAAGTGCATGTAATTGCATTTACATTTGAAGTAAGTGTTTTGTATACAATCTACGATACTCCCGTAGTGTGTGTACCAGTTTAGGATAGATAGAGATAGAAGTTACATATTATTCCCGGGAAGAGGGAAGCCGATAAGATGGTCATATGGCGAACCACGGCCTCGAGTATGGAATTAGCCAGCCAGTTATTTGATTTTTCAGAAGCATGGACTTAATGGTGGAGGAACGAGCGGTTACGTGAACCACCCTACGGCGGAGAGGAGTCCAGCAATCCTCTAGCACACAACCATACCACGCATGGGATTCGCGACGTGCGAACCCACGCAAGGGTAATCAGAGATGTGGTGGCGAGCGTATTCCTAACGCTTAGCAGTTAGCACGATCCGCCACACTGTCGAGCCGAGTTCAGGGTTAGGCCATACTTTTATTCCGATTTTCCTTGATTTAGTTCTATTACATAGGTTTCAGCCCCTTTATACAACTTGATGTAAAGTATGCAAACAAAATTGGTTACCTACATTACGGTACACACACTTCTGGAGCGTCATGTAGAATATGTCTATATTATTATTGTAAGAAGGCACCTGAATAAATCGATCTGAAGGTTTATATTTTTATATCTTCACATAAAAATATTGTTTAATAGCTTTCTTTGTTGAAATATATTTTATGATTTTTTTATTGTGTTTACATACAGAAGTGCTCTTTGAGGGATGGCGTCCAATGATTGGTGACTCAAGCTTCATTTTCTGTAAAGGACTTGATATATTCAGCCGACGTGATCAATTTGAGTTTAAAGTTGACACAAAAACCAAGCAATATTATGGAAATTTATTCACAAAGGTTAGAAGCACTACAGTGTGAAAAAATCAACTATGATGTTAAATCCGAAAACAACTCGTCAGAATGCAGTGCTGACTCACTTTTTTCTTTTTTCATAGATATCCAAAGAACTAGTTCAGAAATGGTCATCACTACCTGAAGGTCAGCATGTTCCTCTGACTCAGCATTTAAAAGGTTTTGCCACAAAAGCTGTTTGCAGAATGCTGCTCGGAGACTATTTCAAGGATGACGTAAAGGTCATCAAGTTGCACAGAGCATGGGAACATGTAAGTACTGATGAATACTTATCCCTCGTTTCTTGTTTGCTCAATTTTCAATAAAATGAAAATGATTTATTTTTTACATTCAGTGTTGGACATACATCGAAAGTCTTGGTGGTGATAAAGGACCTGTTAGCTTGGAAAAAGATTTTAAAAAAAGTAAGATGAATTTTTAACTGCGGTTCCTTTGTAAATTCTTCTTTTGAACAAGATTGTTCTTGCGCTGTTTAGAGTTTAGACAAAAGTTATTGTTTTATTATATTCTTCTAAGGTCTGGATTATTGATTTTATGTTTTATCAACAAAATAAGTCATTATATGCAGTGAAATAATGACTTATGACAATTAAATCAAATTATTGACTTATTGATTCGATTTTTAATTGTCTGATCAAGGTATTCATACTTTTTTTAGATTTGAGTGAATTAACCAAGATCCTAGAAGAAGCTTTGGAAGAGCGCTTTAAAAACCAGAAAGGAGAACCGGTCATATTGGACGGAATTCTAAATTCATCGGAATCATCGTCCATACCAGAGAAGCAACTTGTTTGTGATGCAATTTCACAACTCACGATTGGACTGATTGTCACTCATAGTGGTGAGTCTGTGTTTTGGCTCAAGTCCCAGGAATTTTTTTTGTTTGAATTCTGAGCGATGACGATGAGCCATATCTACACTTAAGATTATTTTCAACAGTATTTCTATTTTTAGTCATTGCTGAAACAGCCTAGTGAATTTCAACAACATTCTTGTGAAATATCTCATAACTACTCTAGGGTTCAACAAAGTAAAATCTTTCTGGCGGTTTGTCAAGTTCAAATCTATGTTTAGATTGCTTGAATCACTTTAAGTCTTTGCAACGGGTGAATCAAGTCTCATCAATACCATCCAGTACTTTTGCCAAAATTAAAATTGCATCCCACAGAAAGTCATTGGCTAAATTCGGAATTATGAGATTTTTGAATTTTTTTTTGATTAGAATTGATATTTCCACCAAGCTATGAATAAAATAAAACTATAACATAGAATTTTTACACTTATGCATGGCCTTTTATTTTTTTATGGGTAACGTTTACTTATGTTAGTTTTTACTACTCAATTCATTACAAAAAAAGTTTAAATCTTTTCAGTTCTCATGTGGGTTGTATATTTTGTTGCAACTCATTCTGAAGTTCAGAACAAACTAAGAAAAGACTTGAGAAAAAATGAAAATTTGGAAATAATGCCTGAAACTATAGGGAAAATCAGGTAAGAATTTTTCATACTTTTCGTCATGTTTGAAAAAAATGTATTTCATGTGATTTGTGAGTATATTACCGCTTACTGGTATATATAAAGTCCAGAAGTGTGTGTACCAATGTGGAGGTAACTAATTTTGTTCGCCAGTTGTGTGAAGGGACTGAAACTATGGACAGGAGGTATATTCACTTGGCTTTCACAGACAGTCCCCGAGTCCCCGAACTTGTAATAGGACTAAAACAAGAGAGCTATGCTCCAATATATGGATACATAGTGCCACAATTGGCAAATTTTGATGACGTCATAGCACACAACATAACGAATCCCATACAGCTCACTGGAATATTTGAAGTAAATAAAAGTAATAGCCTTCGAGCGAAAGAATTAATCTTTGAGAACTGAGAATTTCAAAGCGCTTGGTTAGTAATCAGAGAGGAAAGCGATTTTTTTCTGTGACAAAGAACAACAACATAATAACAAAATGTTCGTTATGTCCACTAACTTGTTCAATAAGAAAATTCGGAATAAAATTATGGCCTAACACTAACCTGGTACACACATTACGGGAGTACCCTTCATAGGGCACTTAGTGATCAAATTTCAAAGAAATTTAGTACTCAGCATTTTTCGTCATTAATGGATGTTTTTGTCTTGTATTTACCTTGTTAGTTTTTTGTCTTGTTTATATTTTCAGGTATTTGCAAGATGTTATTAAGGAATCAGTTCGATGTGGATCCATATTTTCATGGATTGGAAGAAAACAAGACATCGATATAACTATTGGTGGGCACATCGTACCTAAAGACGTGAGTATCACACAGACTGCACTTCTGGATTGTTCTTCTTTAACAAATTGGTTTAGTTCAGTTTTAAAAATTCAGTAAGATACTAATTTTGTCTATACCTTTGTAATGATTAGCTGGCTAGCTAGTCTCCTAACGTGTTAGTCAAGCAACAAATACCCCAAATTTTCTTGTGGAACGGCCATTCACAAATCTTTGTTAATTAACACGCTTTAGCACTCACAAACTAACGAGGTCTAAATATTTCTTGTTAGCAGTGTGGTGCCTTTCTACGACATGGTCAGGCTTGTCAAATATTTATTAAAATCCTAAAATAAAAAGTTTTGATCGACTCCATTTGATTAAAATCATTTTGACATTTTATACAAACGAAAACTAAAATGAGGAAAGTTGCATATACTTGCACTACTAGTCTATTTGGGGTAGCTGACTGCGGCAATGGGATGTGGCTGAGTGATCGGACAACGATTGTGTTAAACAATGAACGCGCATGAGATTTCTAGATAATGTATTGGAACATAAAAAGTAGTCAACATTCATGAGTATTATTTCATGAATAAATTCAAAGAATCTGTGAAATAGTAATAAAAAAAATTATTTTTATACAGACACCGGTGATAGAAGCAATTGGTGAAGCAATGCAAGATGAAAATCTGTTTAGTGATCCTTCGTTGTAAGTTTTTTGATGTAGTGGTTATTATATAGACATAAATATTTGTCATTTTCTACGTTTTATGCTTTACAGATTTGATCCTGGACGGTTTTCAGCTCAAGACAAGGATGAGGGAAAGAAAATTAATCCTCTGGCTCACATCCCATTTGCTTTTGGAGGAAGTCGCAAAAATCCGGAGAATAGGTATGATAGTAATTTTTAGCTTTCATATTCAATATTGAGGTTAATAGATGAACAGATTAATAGTTAAAAGGGTGCTCCCGAAGTATGCGAACCAAGATGGCGGACATCGGAACGTAACATGGGTAACAGGTTAGGGTTAGGCGATAATTTTTTTCCAATTTTCCTTATTTTAGTCCTATTATCAGTTCGAAGACTAGCCAAGAGCCTACCGTAGTATTTATAGCTAAAATTATGGCCTAACCCTAACCTAGTACACATATTACATTTCGATGTCCGCCATCTTGGTTCGCATACTTCGGGAGCCTCGTTAAATGACTATCATTGAGCAATCATTTATTAATTTTCTGATAATTTTTCAGTTTGGTTTACTTGCTTGCTGCTATACTGGTTTGCAATATTACAAGAGAGCTCAAAATTGGAATCGCTGGTGATAGTGCTCAGAACTTGTCAGATCCAGATTATTCCAGTTTTGTTTCAATACCATCAAAAGAAGAGTTGTGGGCTACCGTCTCTCTTGCAGGAAAGTCTGCTACTGAGGCAATTGGAAAGAAGGAATAAGGAGATTTTACTAAAAATAAACTATGATATAAGGAACGTTTTTGTTGAAGCATATTTTCATGGAGAACTAGAAGTTGGCATTAAATTACTTAGCGAAGAGTTATAAGATATATTGCATGTGCGATGTCAGTTGGAGACTGAAGTTTGAAGCTATATTATTGTCACCTGATGAAATTTTGATTGTTTGATGCTGTATTATTTCATCCATATATCTTGGAGAAAGTAACATTCAGTTTGCTATTTAGAAAATATGGCGAAGTATTAGGACACCAGAGTGATATAATGCCCTCGAGTTTGAAGGAATGATCTTTATGAATGGCTTAAGCCTTGGATTATCAAAGGCGTAGGGCAAGAAACATGCTTTATGTTTAGAGGTGTATACATCAGTGTCCCTTTTCCCAAGTCCTTATCCCATGTATCACTTTATAGTGTAAAAAATGTAGTAGTATGGTGTACATACGTCCATAACAGCGCACTGATTTATTGCTTGCCAAAAGTTGCTGTTATTATGTGTCTGATTGTATATAATTTTCAATGCCAAAATTATTTATCCTAAGCGAGGATCCATCTCTGGACGAAAAAATTGATACTGTTATTGGTATGTTATACTGGTACACTCTGCCTATGATGAAGCTTGTTGGTGCAATATAATAATCAATATGATAAATACAGAATTACTGGATATAGTGGGGGGGTGTTTTCAGGCCTAAGTAAAAGTGTGTGCGTACTTATTGGTGCGATTTAGGTGGGGCTGATTTTTACTGGTCCGTTATATTATAAAAAAAAAATGAAATAACTCGCGTTGGAAATTTTTTCTGTTTAGTGTTCAGAATGAGCCTTTGCAGATCTGAATCACAATAAAATCAAATGTTCGACTGGAATATACTTTTTCGTAAGATATATTGTTCACAATATTTTATGTCTCGTCAAATAAGCCCAGTCAAAGTTCATTTTTTCCAACCAGTAAAAATATCAATTTTTAGGCAAAATGCGAAGAAAAAAGATATTCAGTCGCACAATTTTACTGGGGAAGGGAAGACTCTAGGCTTGGGGACTAAAGCTGGTTATCGAGCAGCAACAGCCAAGGATCTAATATCCAAATAAAAAGATCGGGAAAATTAGTTTTGGAAATACTGCTTTTTTCGCGAGTGTAGTAGTTTTACACTGTGTGGAAAATTACCCAATTAATATGTAAAGAGATTGATGAATATTTGAGGTCATATTGAAGAGTCATTAGGATTAGATCATAACATTGACGGGGTATTCCCCCACTTGGAGCATGAGAGGCAAATAGTTAGGGAATTTTTGAAGGGGACCTAGGTCTAGCCCTGACGTGGGCAAACTAGGGCCTGCGGGCCAAATCCGGCTATTTGTTTATTCAGTATGGCCCGCCTGATGCTGCCACAACCAAATTTCAATGTTTTAGCTGAAGAATAGCTCAAAGAATTTGTTGAGATTGCGATGAAATCTAGTTTCGGCACGAGGCCTATTGTTTTCCACTTTTCCTTTGTAACTAGGAAACTTTTGAAAGTGACAGGTCTAGCCACATGGTTACAATGGTGAAACCATAGACGTATCATGTCATTGGGTTTAAATTTGAGAGCGAATTCCTAAAAGAGCTTTTCGTGGCCACTCGAACTTCGAAGTATTTCAGTCGCACGATCGTTTCAATATTATGTTGTTGTTCTTGTTTTTCTTCTCCTTCGTCATTATAAAATAGCTTTTCTCCTTGAATATTAGACCAATTGCTCACGTTTATTAATCAGCTAACGCTACTGTATATCAGTATATCAATTACTTTTAGTTCTAAACTAAATAATATTTTGAACTACTAAGAGAACTAAGAGAAAATGCTTTAATAGTATTTTATTTTAATCCTTCATATTACAAATAAGTTAGAGCAATGAATTATAATTACCGGTATGTTGGATTTAAACAAAACTCTTATCATGAGGGAAGGATCGATCCAGATGATTTTTTCAGTAAAATAGCTTCGATCAAATAAGCCACAGTCGTGAAAAACCCAAAAACGTCCGCTGCTATAAGCCTAGATCTACTCCAACCTCCGCTATCAATATAACAAGCCAGAACTATGGAAGCGGTTAAGCAGAATACGAATGAAAACACTGCCCATACAAAATCTGCTGTTGCGAATGACCCTCCTATTTTTTCATTTAATCCGGTTATGTATATCAGTAAAAATATGACCGAAACACTCCAGCAAATGATGTAAGCCGCAAGCGCAAAGGTTCTTCCTGATGTGCATGGACTGTCTCTCCCACAGTGGTAACCACCGGCAACCAGAAGTGCAAACGCAATGCAACCCAAAGTAACAACAACGATTTTCACTATACCATTGACCTTGGTCAAGTATTCTGAAAAAAAAAATGATGAATGAATGATTATGAAAAAGCACTTTTTCTTGGATTCAGGAAAAAAACGTTTTGAGCTTCCAATAGATCTGACCGTCTCTACTCGAAAAAGGAGTGGAACCGTGAGCTTTGAAACAGGGCGGAGCGATGGCCTAGCGATGAAGCGTTAGACTTAAGTGTATTGATATCACAGATTACGCCTCACCGGTTCAAATCCCATTCCCTATCACCCCCAAGGTGTAATACATTGGGCTATGCCGTCCAGAGAGACTCTGGTTCTTCTAAATAAAACGTGAAATGTCATCAGATATCAGACGCTGTTGTATAAGCCTCCGTATAAAAGGAAAATGCTGAAATTTAAGTGTATATTGCAATAGAACCACGTCATGAACGACCGAAAAGTATTAAACAATGTTCACCACTTTTATTAGTTAACCCGCGACTTGGGATAAATCATAAAATGGTCTCGCAATGTTTGTAGCAGAGTTTACTCACAACTAGGTCACGCCCCTGTAATTCAAAGTGTCCACCACAATTCACGACATTGCGGTATTTAGCTCGATTTGAATAGTTTCTTACTTAACGGTTCAGGAGCATTATCCTTATGAAAGTACATTTCCACAAAATATAGAATAGCTGTTAAGAATCCGAAGATAGTAGCAGCAATTCTTTCGTCACAGTTTTTGCTGCCCGAACATCCATAGATCGACAGGACAATGCTGCCAGACATACAGAAGACAAAAAATATAAACGAGAAACAGAAATCCACTGCCTAAAAACAAAAATAGGACGAGAATGAAAGTTCCAACAAACCAAATATACATATACCCCCAATTTCATATGCATATACTCGTATACAAATGAACAATTCAAGTAATACACATTCACTGTCAATGGATTTTAAAAGCATGTACTTGCTTTACCAATGCGATTGCCCGTACATATTGAGCGCATAACGATACATACTGATGTAGCCGTTCGTAGTGCTAGAATAGTTAGGTTAGGACAGTGGTTCTTAAACTGGGTTCGATCGAACCCCTGGGGTTCGGTGGAGCTGTTCCAGGGGTTCGACGAAGGTGCCCTGAAACAGTTGCATATTATGAGACTTTTTTATCACCCTCCATACTAATTATGCAAAAATAACTATAGTTCATGATGACTAATTACTAATGACTTGAACAATTGAATGGAACAATTAATTGGTGTTACCCTATTCATATTCTACCGTACTAATAAAATTTAACTCAATTTTACGGATAAATCGAAGATAAGCAGTAATTGTACATGAATGAATGCAAAATCATAGCGTGTTTGAATTTCACTAGGTGATAAATTTGCGACAAGGAATAGTTTATCGCAGAGCTTTACCCGAAATTATTATGATCCATTCAGGACAACCTCGATATGGCGCCGAATTAATCCTATCTCTATTTCTGTAAAATAAAACAATTGGCAAACGATTTTATTCGCATTTCAGCGAACCACTGGGTTAGGACAACAGTAGGGACCATTCTAGGATGCCATGATACCCCACGGAACTGGTCGCTCATAGCATTATTATTGTGCTGGTAACATTAACGATATTGGATTCTTCCTTGAATTGATATTGTCTGGCCTGGCTAAACTGGCGACAAACTAATCGAATAAATTTTAATTAATGTAAACTATCATTACGCGTATTACATTTATTTAATTCAAAAAGCATCACCAGATTATGTTTGTGGGATGAAGTTAAGCTCTCTATTCAAATATGGCTGTAGGGGAAAGTGGGGCACGTTGGGACATGGGGCACAGTGGAAAATCAGCTCTCACACTGATACTATATCCGCAATCCTGTCCGCGGTTCGATGTTTCAATCCGCCCTTTGGTGAGTTACAACGTCCCCGCGAACGGACAACGGAAGGGTAGTGCGGCGCAAGCTATGAAGTGAAATTGGTTTTGGAAGGTTGAAACTAAAATTTCACCGTTCCAGTTTTTTCTTTTTTCTACATTGGACTTCCCAACATGACAAACCACCGTCTGATATTATTCAGCTTTAGTCCACTGTAGAATATTCATAACGTTGGCGAGTGGATGTGCCTTCCAGATTTCGCTGTGGGATAGTCTGAAAATATTTGTTGCCTATGAGGAACAATGGACCGGGGCACAGTGGGACTTGCCCTACAGTGCACAATTCGACATTGTTTGATACAATAAGTGCTTAGAGACCTAGATATGCGGTATATTAAGTGTAATATTATGGTTTCTTTTGACCCATGGCCCAATATGGAATATATTCGAGAATCAATAATATTTCCAGATTTAGATTCGAGGGAAGAAATAATCAAATTTGTTTGCGAAACTTTTTGTCTGATATCTGAACTATTTCAGTTGAACATTGATTTTAAAAATATTAAAGCTTCAAATTTGAAGTCTCCCTGTTCTTTAGACGATTATGCTGATTAATTGCTTATTTTTAAGGGCATACTTCGTTGAATTTTGACGGACTGACCCATGGGGCCCCAGGGTCTGTCCGAATGTGCCCCACAAGTGGGGTACAGTGGGACACTTGACAGACGTTTTTCAAAGCATTTTAGTAGTAAGATGTGTGTCGCAAGAAAATTTCCTATTCGCTGAATGTAAACTACATTTACCCCTCTATGCATTAGTCCCGCCAACTTAAGGGAATATGCAGAATTAAAGGCTCAAAATATGCAAAAGAAAAAAAGTGTCCCAACCTTCCCCACTTTCCCCTACTTTCGATTACAGAAAATACAAGAGCTGTTGAATAAAACAAGAGAAATAACGTATTACGGATGTGAAGTAGATGTAGTACAGGGTGGTGCGAGGTTGGCGGGCCGCAAAATCTTTTGAGGATGTCTCGCGGGCCACAGTCGGAGAGAACCCAAAAGTGATCAAAACATATCTATTTTGCTCACTTTATATATATTTAGAAATTAGAGTTTACCGTTATCATCGGTTTTTTATGGAATATATATGGAGCCTTTTTTTTAAATTGTGGTATTTTCGGTATCTTTTCTCGTGTTTGGTTTCATAATGTCGCTTCAAATTATATTCTTCCGTGGCAGATATTACTTGAAAACACACCAGACACTGTGGTTTAACGTTGTTGTGGGATAGGAAATAAGTTTTCTCGCAGTTTACCTCGGTCACCTTTTTCACACTCATTGTATGATGAATTGTTATATTTGACTAATTTTATTACTTGTAGTGTGAGAAGGCCTGGTGCTATCGTTAAAGAGCAACCAAGTCCGTATAAGTTGGGATTCCGGACCCAGTTAAAACAAAAAACTGGATAACGTGGCGCCAAGTCAGATCTGCGGTTCGCAACTGCTGTCACACGGCCAATGCTTGAAAATGGAGTGTTTTTACTAAAACAAGGGCACAAAACATCTCTCCAAATGAGCAGTTAGGCCTACTTGACGCGAGCTTAAGGTACGAAGTTTATATAAAAAAGCGCGACTCATCTCATCGGCTTGATCCTGTCTGCACAAGGCAATCCATTTTCCTTGTATTATCACAAGACGTCATTCCCACATTGGCACCGTTTTGACGTTTATAGATACAGCATTGAAATTACGCGATTTTAACAAACATGAATACCGACATCGGGATTAGGAAAAGGGCTATTCCCAGTTGGAATAGTTAGAAAAAAAAAAAAATATTCTGTCAATGAATACAAATGTTTGCCAAAGATTTAGTGCACGATAAAATTGTTCTGCGGGCGCACGAAATGGGTTGGCGGGCCGCATGCGGCCCGCGGTTTGGACCACCCTGATTTAGTGAATTGCTATGATCGAAGCATCATTCAGTAGTACGCTTATGCATCAGTGATTTTCAACCGAAAAGACTGATAAGCTTATGACCCGGGTTAGAAAATTTTTCTTATAAATTCAAATTCATGGATACAAAAAGTTGAAGTACAAATGAAAGTTTCCAAACACAGGCCGAACAACTCTTCTATTCCCAAGCGATCAATGAAGGACAAACAGACAGTTAGTTCTTCTTCGGAGGTTCTCAGCTTTGGGCGTTCATCGTGACAAGAGTTATCGATGTAAATACGGTACGAATATCGTTGAAAACTACTATATACTACCATACTGACAATCCTTAATATCAGAATTTTATAAATGGGAATCTGATTTTTTGCAAGATTGCAAAAGTGTATCCGTCTCCAATTGATAGAGTATGAATTTGTTGCTTATGAGCATAGGTTAAGTTGCCAGGGTAATATATGAAGAATATGTATATATTTTTAAAAGAGTACCAACCATGGCAACACAAATTGCAGCAAAATAACATTATAGTTTTTCTAACAAATCCTTTTCTTGGTTGATATTTTTCACAAAAATTCTTGAAATTGCGAAGTGTTTTCCGGAAAACTAGTAATCACCATAAATATTGTGGCGTAACCTTATACCAAAACACTGTGTTGAAATTATCATTGATATATATATATATATGCCACAATTGCGCAGGGAAAATCGCCAAAGCAAAAATTGCAACTTTGAAGATCCGAAAGATTAAATAATGTACTGAAATCGATCCTGGCTCAAGTCATTCTGTTCTCAGATTTCAAACTGCAGTCAGTTGTGAATGAAAGAATTTTTCTACAGAAACTGCGATTCGACCGGCCATAACAAGATAGTCATAGAAGGGTGACGATTATTTTATTCGAAGCTCTGCCATTCTTTGCCGCGAATGCTATTATTTAGTGAAATTCAAATACGCCCCGATACCATAGTTACCATAGTCATTTGTGTACATTTATTTCCGATTTTCTTTCAACTGTAATGGAATCTAGGGTATACATATATATATATTTATTACTTATCAATCTTGATCGTTACTTATCGATCTTAATCGGTAAGTATGTTGATAGGTTTTGTCTGTTTTATTGTTGGTTTGTTTGTCTGTCTGTCTGTTAGATACACGCGATATCTCACGAAAGCGAGTTTGAATCTGCTCCAAATTTTGTGTGTGCATTCATCATATCTCGGACCAGATTGATTTTGGATGAATTATGTGGTACAATTAGCGAGTTATCAATTAATTAGTGATGGGACACACGGTGTCGCTATGGAGTAAAAGCGGATGAATCGAAACCGCAGGTTCCGGTTCGGGGATCCCCTAACTTTCGATCGATAAGACTTCGGTCTCCGACCAATATTTCCGTTTAGTCATTGGCAGGTCCGGTAAAACTTATGCGCAAAATAGTTAAACAAATAGTAGGCCTATCTGCGGTGAACTACAGTCATTATTCCAGAATTCATACACCGTGTAATAACGACTTCGTGATATAGGGATTATAGACTACAACTGTTTCAGAAGATCTACTTTGAGCGCCTGGAGCAGCTCCACTAAACACAAGATGTTCGATCGAGCCAAGGTGAAGTAAACACGGTTCTGCTGATATGTTATACGTTTCAGAACCATTGATTTATGACATCCAGGTTTTCATGCTTTACTAATCGCCAAGATTTTTGTATTTGTGTTCGTTTTTAACATTTACTATATGATTCAAGCTCATTACATTTTCACATTCTTGGCGGTGGTTTTTGTGTAATTTCCGACATTATCAGTTAAATCATATTTTGTATACATCCAGTGGTGGGATTCAGCCGGTTCGCACCGGTTCTATAGAACCGTCTCACGGAATTTCATGAGATCAGCGAACCGGTTAGCATTACTAAAAGAACATGCAACAGAACCGGCCGAAATATATGACTTTTCTGTAGAAAAATTGAATCCCACCACTGTATATAACAAAATTGAAAGTTAATGGCTCAGCTTCAATTTTATTAATTTGTTATTTAGAGTTTATTATTAGAGTTATATTTATTACCTAGAGTTAAACAAAAGTTGTTTGAAAAAAATTTAAATTTCATGGTTGTCATCAACACATGCTCGTGAACTATGGGCGGCAGAATCTGTGTCTATCGTTATGCGCACATCAAATGTTGAGGCTTACCGATGAATGATCATGGCAATTTATTACATCTAGGCTACTTCAACCATGTGTAAAGTCATTTCTCATATTTCCATCAATGGCCACAAGGAAAATAACACGACCCCATTCCATCAACGAGTTTACCTCACACACTGCAAAAATAACCTGGCGATACTTTTTAAATTAGATGATCATGTAGACATAACATCTGAAGACAATCGCATAGGTACCATATACATTACTTGAATGGACCTCCATACATATTAAGTTGATGTATATATATGTGTATTTGGTTTGTACTATGTATATGTACATAAGTTGGACGTAAGTATATATTTGGTCGTATACGTATAGCTGGTTACCAAGCCTACAACCAACACAAAACTACTAATACCAAATTGTGCCCTTAACTGTAGATAGTGGAATGCTACTGAAAAAACAAATTGCTTTAATAAGAAATTCACGCCCAAAATTGTCAGCAGTTTAGAACTTAAACTGTCAAATGGGAAAATTTCTTTTCTTTCCACAACAGTTTTCAACCAGGCAAATAATTCAGCCATGGCCATTCATTACTATATTAGAGTTTTGAATGGAAATGATAAAAATCAAAACTTAATTTACCTCGAATGGTACTCCACAATCCATCTTTGAGATCAGATTCACAAGGATGAAAAAGAACACAAATGAAGTTATCACCCAAGACATTAAAAACGCTGCAAATGGCCATCCTAATGCACCACGATATCCTGAAACTGTTGTAAGCGCAAAGCTTATAACACCAAAAATGATAATCACAACTTTCAAAATTCCATCTTTGCTTGTGAGGTATTCACCGCCGGATGCTGGCATAGTTACGTCTAGTTATTTGTTATGTGATCTAACGAGAAATTACGAAGAAAAAAAAAGAAATGTTTGTATTTCTAAATTTGGGAACGTTTTGAAAAGACTTTCCGGAATGAGAAGCTTGAACTTTTTGAAGCTGACGAGTCGAAATTTATGATTGAAGTGGACACAGCCAGTATATTTTCCTAGACGAATTTTTGTACTTTGAAAGCGAGGAATTCAAGATGCGAACCGACAAAGAGCTAATAAATAGTTGAAAATTTCTTTGAACTTGCTACAGATGCAACATGGTGTAGTATTTTTTTTATTTCTTTCCGTAATTCTTCTCTAAATCTTTTTCTGGATTTCAAAAACTGTCCCTATTGGTTTACGTGGGATAACCTCAATTTATTTACTATTTGCCGATCGAGGTGCGATTTCAAAAATGAATCTGACCATAAACTGAGAAAAAATAACTGTTTAAATTGCAGTGGGTTCGAAGTTGAATAGAATCTCAAAAATTCTGAATGTATGACTGACACACGCCAAATACGTACTTTGAAAATCTAGCTACCCGAACTGTTGCGGGCGCCCCATTCCTCTTTGCACATCAAGCACATGATAATAACTATAATATTCTTACGACCCTAAACTGAATTTGGTTCTTTAGAAATAAGCATAATCTTACTCAAGCGCTATACTGTCACAAATCTGTCCCTTAAAGCAAGAAGCCTCTTTTTGTAGGCGTAATTAGGTCGCTAAGACAACAACATGTTGTTTACCTATGGCGTTCACGCACTTACGCAAGCCTTCTTGATTCGAGTGCGCATAACACGATATACTACCAGATCCAAGCTCGGTTACTTAACTAGAGCAAATTGTTCAGAGAACTATAATTTGATGAAAACCATACATAATTAAACAGCTACATATACTAATTTATCTCTGCAATAACGAATCTAATAATTTATATATTTCTCACTATTTCTGAACTTTTTTTTTATCGTAAACCCTTTTTTTTAAAACATGTAAAGATAATTTTATTTATCAGTTATGTTTTATTTATGAGCCCTGCCTTCCCATCCGTTGCGACAATAAATGGGTATTATAATACGTCACGTTTCTGGCTCCATGAAGTTTTATTACAGCTTGAGTTTGTCAAAATGTTCTCGAATTCAACTTACTATCCAATCTACCTAGGTCGTCAGCGTGCATAGCTAACCTGTAGTAAAGCAAATTTACCTGTAACAATTTAAAATTTCAATCATGGCGTCATATCATATTTTTGCATAAACGCGAAATGTCTATTATGACGCCATAATGGATTATTATGACGTCATTGTTAATGAAGGACCAGAAGGTCTCACAAATGGCATGGCCTTAGGCTCCTTATTGTCTAAATTAGAGATGTACCGATACCACTTTTGTCGCCGATACCGATACCGATCCGATACCAGCTAAAAACGCCGATACCGATACGCCGATACTACAAAAAAGCCGATATTCCGATACCGATACTATGTAATTATTACTTAATTAGGTATGCTGTGTATGGCAGACGGGTTAAAACAATGGTCTTTAAGCGTTGTTCATAGTACACATTATTTCAGATCGAAAAAAAAGATATATCACATAATATGAAATTAATGTTTGGTATCCATATGCTGTAACTGATTAAGATACATTGTACAGTAACGCTAGTTATCTCGTTGTTCAATTAGAAAACTCATAAGCCGGGATGTCCAATTTGAATTTAATGTTAATATCGCGAGCTTCGAATATCGTTATTCGTGTTTAAAAGAATATCGAATATCACCCACACATTCTAGCGCCGCCGTCCTACGTTCAAATTAAAAGCATTTTACAAATATTTAATTTAGTGGCTAATCGTAATCGTCGACGCAATAAGTCAAAGCCAACATGAAAGAATATCAATCAGCACCGACAAAAAGAAGGCCCACCGATAACCGTTGAGGATGTTTTTTTACTTCACTATTTTATAATATTTTACAATTGCTATCATATATTTTGAGACAGTCTAGGGCAGTGGTTCTTAAAGTATGGGTCGCGACCCAAACATGGGTCGCGGAAGGTTTAAAAAATGGGTCGCGACAAGGTCGTCAATGCAAGGGCAATCTAAGAGGAGAAGGACGAATTTTCAGCTTTCCCAATGTTTCAATTTAGCTTCTAAACTCTGGTATTTAAAAATAATGAAATAAAAAATTTCATTCACGGAAAGAACTGTCTTGAGCTCATTGTTACATCACAATTCTGATATGCCAGTCACGTGTATTATTTTTATGGTATCGGTAACCATGCACGTCGCTTGTCGTTGTGTTGACCGCATGGAATGTCGTCTTAGTGGATTAAAATAACCAAAAATGGGTGTCTTTTTGGTCATGAAAATTGTAATAGACGACGCAATGAAAAAGCTCGCTTCTCGACATTAGATTATTCAATATCTAGAGAAAATGTGACTTCATCTCGAGGCACCATTTACCGCGAACGAAGCAGTGCGTGCACATGTGACGAGTAAAAAGTTGTATATTGCGAGAGATACCGAAGGCCAGCTAGGATGTCGTGTTTGCGACGGACAGCGGACGCCTTTTCTGCTACAATTCGCGACAAGGCACTTGTGCGAGCGAGGATATTTGGCACTGACGTTAATCAAAACTAAGCTCGCAATCGCTTTCGATACCCGTGACAACTTGCGTATTGCGTTAAGTAAAATAGAGCTGTGTATTGAAGATATAATGAAAAAGGAAATTTCAGTTTTCATCAATCTCACTGAGTCAATGGACTGTTTCTAATAAATAGTTGTCTGTATTTGAGTCAGACTGTACTAACATTAAAAACACATTTTGCGTTTTTTAGGATTGGGTCGCGAATATTCATAAAACTCAGATTTGGGTCGCGCTCGAAAAAGTTTAAGAACCACTGGTCTAGGGCTAGGCGGTCAAGTCAATATATCTATAAAGAAATCGTGTAGCAGAATTAAAATTAATACCTGTGTAGTGGGATAATTGTGTCGGAATTTAGTTTATCGATGTCGACGGACTAAATGACACTCGTACTTAACGACAAACAGTCAGAATTTATACCCGCGCCAAAAGTCCATGTGCCGTTAATAAGGAAGGACCCCAATTCCACTGTATGATTTAAAACTGGGCGCCTAGTTGCTTTTTGTTATGTGCTGTGGTGATATATTTCTTCATAAAAACTATGTAATATTAAAAATGTCAACAATTAAAATTTGACAGCGAAAATAGCCAAATTAGTTGAGCTAGTTTAGCTGATAAATAGCTAAAAACACGTGAATCCTATTCTCTCGCAGGGGTGGGGACATGTATGCTCATAGCTCACGATCTCTCCAGGCAGAAATAAATTAAAAAGTAGTATTCCAACTTATCTTTTAAAACATTCTGGACCATATCAAAAAGATAAATATATCGGTAATATCGGCCTTAATCTAACCGATACATCTCTAGTCTAAATCCGACCCTCCTGGGTGGTTAGTGGTTACACAAATTACAATTGTCACGTCATTGCTGACTTGTCATTGTTACGGAATAAACAGAAATCGATAATCGGGGAAATATTCATACGGAACCTTACCTATTGAATTGAAGGTAACATGGAACCCTTATTTCATTGTTATTATTTTCTATACACAGGGCACCCAAAGTCTCGGGTCCCTGAAAGGCATGATCCGGCCCTGTATAGCAGGTGTGATTTCAAAAATTCATCCAACCGAGCAAAGCCAACTGGTTAAATTGCAGGTTTGAAATTGGATAGAATCACAATTGGCAAGTTACCGATCAGAGTATAGTTTGGAGACGACAAAGTATAAAACATTCTGAATGTATGTATCCTGACTACGCGGGCTGCGTTAGAGAATGACAAACGCCAAATACGCACCACGCACTTTTGCGGCTAGACCACACGATAATCACCTTATTCTTACGACAATCTGAATTTCATTAAAAAAACAGGCACGAGCTTGCTCAAGAGCTTTACTGTCACAAATGTGTCCACTAAAGCAATATGACTCTCTTTGTAGGCTTAGTTACGTCGCCAAGACGACAACATATTGCTCAAGAACGTCGTTGTTGCGGGTTACTCTACCTATTTGCAAAAGGGTAATAAAAATCGAATTAGAATCCACCGCGTTGTTTACCTATGGCGTTCACGCAATTACGCAATTTTGATTATCCTTCTTTTTATAATACCAGATCCAAGATCGGTTATTTAGCGAAAGCAAATTGGTTTGGTGAACGTAGGATGATAAAAAACCACCCATAAAGTCGCCAATTAAACGGCGGACTGCATTCCAGCGTCAAATCAAATACTTGATGTTTGCTCAAGAGCCAAGACTATGTCTGCTGTGCTTCGACTCCATAAAGTTACTTCAGTGTAGATATTCAGGAAAATTTACTTAATTTTTGGAACATAAGAAAACAAACATCGGATCATATAGAAACATTCCAATCACTAAAATTCATTCTTTAACATATGTTTACAACTTCATCTGGTCTTCAAGCCCGATTACCTTATTACAATGAAATCAGATTTGTCCAAGCATAAAAAGAATCTATTTCAACATTGCCTGGACTATCTTAACAATATTATGGGGTTAATTTACAACAAGTGCGCGATAATAATCATTGAAGTTCGAAATCAGTAGTCCGGATGTCTTTCAATAATCATTGAGTGTCCCTGTAAAAATACGAGTTTTATAATATTTCAAGAAATATTCATACAGCAACGAAAAATAGATCAAAACATGAGCGATAGTCATTCACATGGTTGCTAGGGTTCAATGAGTAATACCGTCACCACACTGTCCAACAAAATTTAGAACAGAACTGATTTTCAAGATTCAACTACCAGTGTAAATTTTAAAATGGAATGAAAGGAAATCCAAAGTATGTGTACCAATATAGCGGTAAAGGTAACTAACTTTGTTTGCCTACTTTACATCAAGTTGTGTAAAGGAACTGAAGCCTATGGCCAGGAGGAATATTCATTTGGCTAACACAGACAGTCCTCGAACTCGTAATAGAACTAAAATAAGGAAAATCTGAATAAAATTATGGCCTAACCCTAACCTGGTACACATAACACAGGAGTACCGAATAAAGAGCCTAATAGAGGCTTTTTCCTTTTTTTATACTAAAAATTTGAATTATTCACAACCCAACAATAATAATTCACAAACAATCCGTGTCTAAATAGTTCAAATTTTAAATATTCTGGCTTTAAAATGATCTAAAACAACATCATGCTCTATCATAGTATTGTTCATCACGAATCCTAACAATTTCACAAAATATTTCTTACCAATCCTCCGGCTGCACATGCTGCTAATAATGCAAATTGTTTATCTTCAGATTTTAATCTGTTGGCACACGTTGTTGCAAGACGGCATCCCGTTGCACCAAATGGATGACCAATAGAAAGGGATCCTCCCCACAAGTTCAGTTTTTCCATAGGTGGTGCACCAACCTAGAAGAAGAACATTACAGCAAAAAATTATTTAGTTTCAGATAATAAAAAGCAACACAGAAATTTTTTTTTTTTCAAAAATGAATAACAAATACCTTAGTCTGTCTGTTCATGTGATTTTTTGCAAAATATTCAGACTCCATGGCTGCAAAATTTGCAAGGATTTGTCCCTGGATTAATAAAACATGAATAAGATAACCCATAAACAAACAGTTTGAAGGGTTTGATACATTTTACTCTACTCTATATATTTTTGTGAATTCAGAGTTTCTCAACAACACTTTTAATAAAAAATTAAAATAACTTTCGGATTGTCCTTTAAACGTAAAAAAATGGATGAATCCTGACGGAGAGAATATTGAATTATGACTCGATGAAATTCTTGACTCACAGCAAAAGCTTCATGATATTCAAAAACATCAATGTCGGACATTTTTAGTCCAGCTTTTTCAAGAACAATAGGAGTTGCATATGCTGGTCCGAGAAGAAGCTGATCTTTGGGATCTTGAGAAACGTAAGTAAATTCCCTGAAAAATGGAAAAATGATTAAATGAACTGCAAAGAACAATGACTGGCGCTCCAAAAGTGTGTTTACCAATATGGAGGAAACTAATTTTGTTCGACTACTTTACATCAAGTTACGGAAACCTATGGGCAGAGGGATATTCACTTGGCTAACACATACACAAGGGAAAAATCGGAATAAAATTGTGGCCCAACCTTAACCTGGTACACACTCTAAGGGACGAGTACCCATTGATTTATGTGGGATTTTAAAAAGAGAAGACAATTTTTAGAATGAATCCAAAATATCTGGTGTGTATTTCATCCTAAAATATACCTCAAATATGCTTTAGGTTTCAGACCCATCGCTTTCGCCTTGCTTTCTTCCATTATGAGGCAAGCGCTTCCACCGTCACTCTGAAATTATACAAAACAGTAATGATAACAAAACATTTAACAATCAAAAATTAAGATATACTTGAGAAAAACAATTTCAGAATGCAAAATTATAAGTAGGAAATATTATTTTATTTATAAAATGGTAATTTAGGTGAAACGTTTATGATGTCATAAACTCACCAAAAACGATGAATTGGCTGCCGTTATGGTGCCATGAGGTCTGATGAAAGCTGCCCTCAACTTTGCCATTTTTTCTAGAGGTGTTGGACGAATTCCATTATCAGCTTTGACAGGTTCCATTACACCTTGGAAATTGGATGATTATTTATATAAATTGTAAGCATAAAAAAAGAAAAATCATGGAGATTAATCATAAGGATTAAATTTAAGGTACTCCCGTAGTATGTGTACCAGGCTAGGGCATATTTTTATTCCGATTTTCCTTATTTTAGTTCTATTATGAGTTTGGGGACTGTTAGCGTTAGCCAAGTGAATAGACCTCCTTCCTGCCCATAGGTTTCAGTCCTTTTACACAACTTGATGTAAACTAGGCGAACGAAATTAGTTACCACCATATTGGTACACATACTTCTGGAGCGCCAAATTTAACAAGGTTGGAAAGTTGAGATGAAAAATATTGTTAGTTTAATTTTATCCAGTTTTCTAATTATGTGGAGAAGACTATTTTGTTCTGCTTGTCTATAATCGAATGCTCAGAAATTGAAATTCCCACAATCGAAAATTTTATAATAACAAATTTTGGATACATTCAAGAATTCGATCCATTTTGAACTTGTATTTAAATCACAAACTCCAACCTGGCACTTTGTATTCCAAAACATCTTGTAAGTTTCCTTGTTCTGTTGCTTTTTGTGCTAAAGAATGTGATCTGTAGGCAAACTCATCCTGAGCTTGTCTTGTGATGCCGAATGCTGCAGCAAGTCGATCTGCAGAGTGTCCCATTACTTCGTCAGTTGAAAATTCTGCAATGGCTGGTAGCTGAAAATGGGCAATTTTCAATAATAATATTGAAAAAATTTTTTATACAGTTCAGTACAACATAGTTACATAGTCTTGAATAAAGGCAACAAACATGGCTGGGCCAAAATTGACCATGTTCAAAATATTCTTTCTTTTTGTGAAAATGTGGCTCTATTTAGTTTTGTTCGATCTGCCAAAATTGTCTCAAAAAATATTAATGCTACTAACAGCAGTGGCTTAATGGTTAAAGTGATAGACTTAACTCTGTTGGCATTGCAGGTTGCACTCGTGTTCAAATCTCATGCTCATTACCTCACGCAGGGTGAAAAAGATTTCGTATATTTTTCCAAATAGTAGCTACGGACCTACGGTACTTACATATCACAACTTATCATATCGAAAAATGATTCCAATTTTAAGTAGAACTTGCAACCTTGTTTTGACAAATCCCACAACAATCCAATTCTTACTCACCTCTGGAGAGAAATATTTCACGGGGCTCATGAGTACTTTTCCTGCCAGACCCAGTCTTTGTCCAGTCGTTTTTGCCTGTGAAATAAATCATTTCTTATTTTTCATTTCAGATAAAAAAATATTCAAAAAGACAAGTTTGAATATTACCTTGTTAAGATTTAGCATCAGGGATCTCATTGTTCTGTTGAATCTTATCGGAACATCAGACATAAAGTCGACTCCACCAGCAACGACCGCTTGACATTGACCGCTAGCAATAAGGCCAATCGCTGGAATAGAATATTTTTTAAATTTCGTATATTAGAATAATAATTTCAAATATACCAATAGGTTGTTAGAACGCGCTTTTGATAAAAATCTGGTGGGTTACCTAGTAATTTTAGAGGGTCAACAGCAGTTGAAGAGAGTAAAATCCATGAATCAGTGTTTGAGAGGACTTGATTGGCACTCTAATTACAATTTATTGAAGGCTATCAAAGTTACTCAAGCCATCTAAATGAAACGACTTGTACTCAGCTAATCGACAGTGAGACTTATCTCAACGAGAGACAGTGGCGTAGCCAGGAATATTCAAAGAGAGAGGGATCTGAAAATTTCTAATTGCCAAGTTGAACCGTATGAGTCAGGCGGCCGGAAAAGTGTCCAAAAAGTACTTCAATCTACGAAAAATTGCTGTGTATGATACAGAAAATCAAGGTCTTTGTTCCAATACTGCTTTGAATCACATGACTAATATACCTGTTGTTATAGCTTGATTGGATGAAATGCAAGCTTGTGATACAGTATGTGCTGGAATTTTGTTAGAGAATCCTGCACCAAGAGCTGCTTCTCTTGCTATATTAGGAGTTTTTGCTTCCTGCAATATAAATCTGTTATTTAGTATCTGTTATTACAGACTTATTTGCTGAAAAGTAATATTAAAATTAGGAACATTGTAAAAGATGAAAATCTTGCGACAAAATCTTTGAAATTTATTTAAACAGGAAGAATTTTGAAAAATATCGAAAATATTCTGAGTACCAAGTATAGACTTTGCATTCTAGCCATTAATTACCTGAATTACTGTTCCTACTGTAATGTAATCAACATCAGTCGTAGAAATTCCAGTTCTTTTCAGCAATCCGAGCATCGCTTCCCTTGCAAGGTCATGAGGCATGAGATTTTTATATCTGGATAAAATGATAGCAATTGTAACTTGTAGTTTGGCTTGACAGTTAGAGCATCATGCTAAGTATTAAGACTATGCTTGCAGTAGCACCTCTTGCTAACACTTTATAAGGGGTTTATTATGAGTAACAGGAGAGATATCCTCAAACAAGGACATAAAAGATTGGCAGAAAAACTGGGTGAAATATTGGGTCGCATGGGTCTCCGAGAAAACTTGAAAAAAAATAAAAAGCTTTTTAGTGTCACTAACTCACTACCCATCTGTGAGTGATAAAAATTTGTAATCGTTCATTCCTGTGGGGCATCAGTTGCAGAGATGGGCAATTTTTCTACAATAATAATAATATATAACCTATCTATTTAAACATTCTGGACTAGTAAATGGATCGTATAAAATATGTTACAATTATACTTACTGAGTTCCTGACATTAAAAAAGGTGTTCGAACTCCTTCAACTAATACAATATTTGGTTTCCCACTTTGTGACAATGTTTTCTTTGATTTTGCCGCAGCTGCTATGTGAATTGAACATCCAAAACATCTTGCTGAAACTGTCAAAAAAAAACAAATATAATAAAGCTTGTATTAAATATAGTAATATGGTCTATGTCGAAGTTGAGAAGGGTAGAAAAATAAGCAGTCTTCAATATGAAAATAGGACTGATATGTATATCGATATCTCCATTGCAACAAATTAGTTTATATGACATTTCATAGTCGCAAGTCGCAACCCTCCGCTGTTTGTTGAGTGCACTTGGTTTCAATCTGAGGGATCTTGCGTAAAAAGATATGAATAACGCATGTAAAAATATATGTATTTTAACTAAGGCAGGGGTGTGCAACCTTTAATACTGGCTGGAAGGCTAGATATGAATAACTGGATCTGATTTAACAAAGGTTTTTTAGTAGTTGCAGACACAAAAACTTTGGTAATTGATCTTATGACATGCGTTGTTCGCAAAATCTCAGGTATTGGACTCAGGAATAGGCTTTGCAATGCAAAAGAATTGGAATTTCTCACACATACTAAATTAAATTAAAAACTCCTTTCGCTGGCCGCACACCATTTAAAATTGGCACTTCATCGCTGGCCGCACAATTTTTCCTCGTGGGCCGCAGGTTGCACACCCCTATGCAAGGCTTTAGGACTGAACTATGATGATCATATTGTAGTTCATTGGGTTCAAATTCCATGCCCAACACCTCACCCAGGGTGTAAAAATTTGAGAAAATGCTGAACCCAAAAGATTCATGTCGTCCAAATCATAGTAGTTCCTTACAGTTACAGTGGCTACTTGTGTAGGGCCTTGTTTATAGCAAAAAACATGAATAAGTCATATAAAAAAAGAGGGTGGCACAATAACATTTCAAATAAAACTCCCACCTTGAAAAAACGGCACTTTGTTGAGATTTGCTTTATTGAGTGTTCTTCCTATGCCAGCCATTTTGTTTAAAATTATCCTACAATAGAACTAGATTGGAACTTAAACTAAAATAGAGAAATGAATAAATTATGATTATAATAAATTAATCCACTCATTTTTTTCAAACTTAATAAAAAGACATGATTGCATAAATTATGAAATTTTTCAGCATGAAACTGCTCGAAGTAAGATTACAATAGATCATTCAAAAAGTCTTAACATCAACACTTAATAACGAAGGAGAATAAAATTATGCACATGTATGATTTTCACTGATAAATTTGAACTTGGTACTAAAAAAGGGGTACTCCCGAAGTATGTGAACCAAGATGGCGAACACCGGAACGTAGTATGTAATAAGGAAAATTGGAATAAAATTATGGTCCAACTCTAACCTGGTACACATGCTACTTTCCGGTGTCTGCCATCTTGGATCACATACTTTGGGAGTACCAAATAAGGTACAAATGATTCGCAGAATAAGGACATAAACATTTGATAAAATAATTCAATACAAACAAAACTCAAATTGGCACCAATTTGCCAAGAATCAAAAGTTTGTAATTAATTGACTTTTCTTTTCAAATTTTACAAAGATGACAATAGATTGGATTATTTTAAACTAGAAAATATTTTATAATCACGTATGGTCATATATGCACCAACAATGTCATGCTTATGCAACAAATGCCTGTATCTTAATAACTAACTGATCGGAATTCTAGAGTAAAAGTCAACAAAAGCACCAATGTTACGAATCAAACCAAGTCAATATATTTATTAAAAATTGGTCTTATTTTATAAAATCATAATATTCCTGTATTATCAAATTCAATACAAGGTTATATTAGTTTTGAACATGGGACAATCTAGCACACATCCAATATTTCAGATTTCAATATTACTCTGTTGAACTGTAGCAAATAAAAAAATTATTACGCTAATGTTGCTCTTTGTTGTCTTCGCAAATCCCATAAAGTCGAATTTGGAAGATCCGTATCATTAGATTCCAAATTATTCAACGATTTCCCAGTAAAGTTCTGGCAAATTTCGATATATTTCTGACGCTCTGTACTTGACACAGAAGGACCTGCAGATTCCAAAGCATTCTCGATATCTTGATTCGAAACTGCTAACCTTGAAATTTGTCCTTGCTCAGAGTCAGCTCCATCAAAAGATATTTTCGTTTCATCACAATTGCGATCTGACACTGTTTCAATAATTTGACGAATCTGCTCAGGTAATTTACCTTCCTCCATTTTTGAATATAAAGAAGGGAAGTAAATTCCGCGCATTGAAGACTTTTTACTGTGAGAACTTCGGTCATCTAACTGGTGTAAGTCACTAGAGCTGTATTCTGGTGACGATAAACCATAACAAATTTTATACTCATTACTCTTTGAATTTGTTTTATTGGTTGAGCCATTTTCAATAGATTTGACTAAATTTTTCGCTGTTTTTGTGAAATCTGAAATAGTGACTTTAGGAATGCCTGTTGATGAATCTGAATCCATATCTTCATCTTTTAAGTCATGGTGTAAAGATTTTATTCCATTACTACTGTATTCTTCATCTAATTCAAATCCCCCCAAAGAAATCGGAGGTGAAATGGAAGAAAAAGGCTCGGTTGATTCAATTTTAATAGTACTTTCTAGCTCATTGGTACTATAACCATGTATTGCATTGAGTTGTGCATCGTAAACCAATGCACGTAAATCCGCACCTGTGAAATATTTACAGCGAGCTGCGATCGCTCTAATATTTACATCATCTTTCAATGTAATCTTATGAAGCAATGATTTCAAAATGTCACATCTTTCTTCAAAGTCAGGCATTGGGCATTGTAAATGAGTGTCAAGTCGACCAGGTCGCAATAAAGCTGGATCAATCAAATCTGGCCTGCTTGTTGCAGCTAACACATAAACACCAGACAGTGGTTCAACACCATCTAAGTGAGTTAAAATTTGATTGACCACACGATCTGTTACACCAGTACTATCGTGCCCACGTTTTTGTGCAATTGAGTCAAATTCGTCAAAGAAGAGAATACATGGTGCAGCAGCACTTGCCCTCATGAATAAATCTCTAACAGCGGCTTCACTTGCACCAATATATTTGCTCAAAAGTTCAGGACCCTTCACAGAAATAAAATTCAAATTGCATTCATTTGCGACTACTCCCGCGAGTAAAGTTTTTCCACAACCAGGAGGGCCGTACAGCATTATACCAGATTGCAAATGCTTACCTGCTGTTTGGTACAAATGTGCATATTTTAGCGGCCATATGAGTTTTTCAGTCAGTTGCTTACGCACTTCATGCAAACCACCGACATCACACCATGTCATTTTCTTTGGTTTGTGTAAATTTGCATTTTGAAGAGAAATAGGAGTAAAACCAGAAATTGCATTCTTAAAATCTTCTATCTTTAACAAAACTACATCACGATTTGAGCGACGATTTTTGGAAGAAAGAATAGCCCTTTTTGTCAATTGTATAAAATCTTTCGCTGAAAATCCTTCTGTAGCGTGCATAATTTCATCAAAATTGATCCTACGAACAGCTCTACTGCTCATACCTATATCATTCAGTAGTATGGAACGTAAGATCTTGGCACGATTATCAGCATCAGGAAGTTGCAGAGTCATGATTTTGCTAAAAAAGTAGCAACCATGACTTGGCAGTATTAGGGGATGAATAGCATGCTCTGAATTGGCAGTTGCAATGATAAATATACGATTCCGACCTTTGTTTAAAGTTGAAAGCGTTTCTTTGAATACTGATGCCAACTGAAGAGTATAAGTTGCACTCGGAGACCTGTCTGCATCTGGTGAATCAAAAGATGATAAAAGAGTATCAATGTCATCGAGAAGTAACGCAGATGGCTGTCTCCACTCTAGCTCCATTGTAATATTTTGAAGTAACTTTTTGACTGTTTCTGGTTTTTTGCCTCTCAAATTTGAACAAGACAACCATTGAACATAGGCATGGACATTTGAAACAGCAATCTTCCTTAGCAAAGCCTTGCAAAGTGTGGTTTTACCAACTCCACTTGGACCCGTTAGCAGAACACAGCCAGGGTGAATAGGTTTGCTATTTCTAAATAGTTTAGTCGGCATCGGTCTATTTTCAAACACGGCCTCTGAGTGCTTCAGACAACATGAAATGATATCTTGATGACACAATAAAAGTCGTTCTGCACTTTCATGGGGTATTTTAGGGTCAACGTCACTCAAACTTTTTAATGCTGTATCTTTGTTTGATTGAGAGAGAACAAACTGCAACTCAATAGATGATAAATCATCAGCGTTGATCAAAAAATATTCTGACGATACTTTGTCATCAGCGACAAATATTTTTTCCATGAAAAGTTCTATATTTACTTCATCACTGCTAATGGCTTGATCTGATGGTGACAAAAATTTACGAAATGGAACATGGAAAATACTCCCAATGACTATCGGTAGAGGATGTTCTTTGCTAGTAACTGCGTCAAGCCATCGTTCAAAAGACATTTTCAAATCATCTGCAGTAATAGCATATGGCAGTTCCAGTGCATCCAGTACTCGGATGACAATCCTTTTTATATTCATGCTAGCAGGCTTTGGAATATTTTTCAATTTTTTTAAACAAACTTTAGATGAAATGTCGATACCTAACTGACGTCTCAATACAGATGACATTTTTAAAGATTGTGAATACTCCTCAGTAATTTCACCATCTCGAAAAATCATCGCAAATTTACTCATCGACTGAACACAAAGACGAACCACTGCTTCAGTAGATTGTTTTGATTCAGCTGCTGAAGTTATATTGCTATCATTATTGTCGCTTTCTTTCCGCATTGTCAATTCTTTCAAACTTACAAGAAAGAAACCAAAATCAAGTTCGCTTTCACTTTTACAATAGCATTTATCCTGAAGTCCTCTGTCACTACAATTGCACTTTTGCTCATCCGATATAGAATCAAGCAAAACAAATCCAGCTTGATCATAAGAGGTAATGAGCGAATTATTCTTTTTTGCATTGTTCATGGGTAAAATTCGCAGAACCAAGTTAAGTTTATCAGGGAAATCCTTGATGCAATCTAGAACATTTTCACTTTGATTCAATGAAGATTTTTTGTCTTCCACTGCTGAAGAAATTTTGAATATATTGAAAGGCATGGTTATTGCTGGAAGAAGTCTATGCCACAATATGTAAAATATGTATGATATAAATTGAACCAATTTGCGAATAAGTGGCAAACGAAGAAATCGCCGAAATAAACTTTTCCGTGTTGTTTCCGACGTTTTCAATACATTAGAAGACGACATGGTATTAATACAGTCTTTGTTGCTTGGTGATACATTTTCATGTTCAAATATACTTTTGTCACTCACAATAGTTGTTTTTAACCTGTGAGATTCGATCTTCGACTCCTGTTTTCGATTGATTTTTGGCTCAATAATCAGTTCGGTTAATGGCATTAATATTCCACATTGAGAATTAGGTTCAAGAGAAACTGTCCTCAAATAAATACAAACATTTCCGCTCACCCACAATGGAAACACTTGACCAGGCCATAGCACTCTTGTCTGATCAAGTAGACTCATCTCCACCTGTTCTGCATGAAGTTCAAGGATTTCCCAATCATCAACAGAAATTGGTTCCAACCATGCTCTGACACAAACATCCACATTTCTTAAAATCTCAGCAGAAACTTTCATGTTGTTATTAAATCCAATTTTGGAAGCGTAAAGTCCATTGATAAAAAGAGCATCACTTAGATGGGATGTAGATCTTGAGAAATATGAAAGATTGAAATACCCAACATTTTTAGAATCCACACTAAGTTTCAACACATCAAAATCAACCAGGTTGTCTCGGTTTAAATGAGTGTTTCTCCAATTTGTTAAATCCGCCTGAACCGAGCATGACTTATCAGTCGTGTATTGTACAGTAAATATTAAATTATCTGCCATAGCTGTACTGAAAAAATTAGATTATAGGCATAAGTTATAGCACTGCTGCTCATCATTGAAAAGAGTTGACCTACAACTGTATAATGCAATCAATATAATTACGACTCAAAAAAGAGGTACGGTACGAGACTGCACTTTCGAACTTTGGACTTGGGCAAAGACATTTGCTCTGACTGTGCTATAGCGAACTTTGACCTGTACCTATTCAGGCCTGAAGGTGACCCATTCGAATATTGTGCTTATTGCGCATTTGTTAAAAACGAAAAAAATAACATCCCACCAAATACGACTTTTCTTCGCTTCAATATGTACCAACATTACCCATAAATCAATTATTCTTCGACAACATTATTGTTAAAAATCCATTCATTTAAAGCATATGAATCATTTTAAAAAGATTATTAAACAAAATCGCATCATTTTTAATAATTGGCATTGTGTTGAATACACATCAAAAAGCTATATGATGAATAATCGTGTTAAACAAATTTTCAAAGCTAGATTTAAATTATAGAATGATTATAAAAACCATAACAATATATTTTTAATTTGAGAAAGTTATCGCCAAGTTTATTAACAATTTCTTTTTTGGATAAACATCTTCAGACTCGCCGTTGATGGTGATGGAAGACAGTCAAGAAGATAGTGGTACTATTGCAGACTTTTAATTGGGACATGCAACCAAACATAACGCCTTAATTAAGGCACGGGGCGGTAACCTACCCCCCGCAGGTCGGCTGCAGCCCGCTAGGCAAAATCACCCGTCCCGAGACAAAATCAATTATTCACTGCAGCAATACTGCCCATCGTTTTAATGAATTTCATACTATATTGTTACCGCTGTTTGAAACTGTTTGTCGTAACAATCTTTGTCAAGATAAAACAATGGGAATACCAATTATTTCGTAACAGAAACAAACGTATTGTTGCCGCTGTTTGAAAACTGTTTTTCGCAACAATCTTTGTCACGATAAACTGTGGTAATACCAATTATTTCGTAACAGAAGCAAACAGTGGCGGCGCGTGGTCATTTTGACAACCGGGGCAAGCTACTGCGGGACCAAGTCACCCCCATCTACGGGGACAGGATGAGCGCTGTAAGTTCTCCCATCATTTTATGAGTATAAAAACCATTCCATCGGTAACAACCAATCGGCAAAAGCGACAATTTTTAACGATAAGAAAGTGTCTTTAAAACCGATCCAAGTCAAGGGATTAATAAATATAGACAATAGGCTTGCACGTAATTTACAGATTTACGGAATTACGGAATTATTTCGAGTTACGGAAGGAAAGTTACGAATTACGTAAAGTCGTAATTATTGGTCGAGCGCTTTCGCGATTGAAACGAGCTCTCTTCAAAGTAGTCAATTCGTCGATTGTAAAACGTGAAAGTTTAAAAAGTAGAAGTTAGAGCTTCGGTATTTGCAGCCGTTTTTCTCACTTTTCTCTCTCTTGTCAATACGTCACCGTGATAATTAATGTCGCGCTTATCAAACAGCAATATGACGACGGGAGAGAAATTGCGTAATGAACCAACGCAACTTCGTCTTTTCGGCATCGGTAAAGCGATTGAGACGGCAGAGAAACAACAATATGACGGCATTTCCCGTGATCCGGTAAAAATCCTTTGCGGACCGTTGACGGTCCGCGGACCGGCGGTTGGGAACCACTGTTTTAGAATACTTAAATCGAATCCTATTCTATTTTTGTAGTTACCCGTATTTAAATAGTGGCATTTCTCCACCACAATGCATGATTAAAATTAAAAAAAAGGTAAATTGTAGCTTAAATGTTTAATGTATAATTATCTTTGTGCAGTATTTAATTGAAAATGTCCTGATCATTGGATTATATTTAACCAAGGCAACGACATTTAAGAATTTCGACGATCGTTTTTTTGTTTTTAACAGTTCAATATTCTCAATTTAACTACTATCAAATATCAAGTATGAGCCAGTGTGTTTATTCTGTGCGAGAACCATTTTCAATTACAAAACTCTGATGTTCTGTAACCGGTTTTATCGTTTTATATCAGTCCGGTCTTGTCCTTGCTCAATATATTTTCCACAATGCCTCGCAATATTTCGGCCAAATATGATTAACTGTATTTACCAAATGCGGCAACTTATTTTGATTCTTGAATACCACCGACACTCGACCAAATTTGTGTCAATCTTGTCCGATAGGATCGTCGACTTGAGTTAGAAAAATAAGTTAATTTTTTCGTGAGTGCAAAATAAATGTCACAATATACATTTTTTGCGATGTAACTTTGTATTTTCGGAAAAGCCATGTCATATAAGTACGGTATTTAAATTATGCGCAAATAATTAATATTTGATCTAAATTTGTCACAAATAATGTTACAACATTTAGGCCGCGAAATAATTTAATGTTAAATGAAGCATGGTAATCGGAATAACGTCAATAAGTCGGCATCAATAATTATTATAAAATGCTGACTAGGTAGTAAAGTCGAATAATGTTAAAAGCGGTGCAATAACAAGTCTTCGTCGCGAGGCAAGCGCAAGTATAATCAAACGAGAGAATACGCTTGTCGTGGTATTGATAAATTGGAGACCCGACATTTTTTTTAATACGATTTTAAAAAAGTCGACTATCGTTTCATAAATATCCGTATACCAGTGTCGGTAATGATATAATTGATCTCATAAAATTGGGACGGTTAATTTGCGAAGGTGATAAAGGAAATCAAAGCTAGCACAAAAGGTAAAAATCAGAATAAAATTAATTTGAATTCACTCTTGTCTTAACATCTGTCGCCGGCGTGTAGTACTGCCAGGAATATGAAAACCCAAACTCGATGTCTCAATCGAAAATGAAGTGGATTCAATTGGTTGTTATGAAAGGTTTAAATGTATGAAAAAATATCGCAATTACGGGGTCATTACGTAATCGATTTGGCCGTAATTACGGAATTGATTTTTGTCAATTACGTGCAGAACCAATAGACATAGTTTATTTTGAAACCTCTTTTAAAAGGAAAGGCAATATTTACCCAGATAAATACAATGACATATTAACAGAAACTTCGGGAAAGCAGACAAAACCTAAAATAAGGTTTGAAACGTTACTATGAAGAAAGGAAAGGTAATGCAAAGATAAGGACATGCGTCGCTCACTCATAGATATTAGAGGTAAGATCGGGCTAAAAAATTCCAGCCCGACCCGACTCCGGCCCGTGGGTATTAAACCCGACCCGACCCGAGCCCGACTAATTAACTGGATTTGCAGGCTCGACCTGACCCGGGCCCGTGGGTATTAAAACCCGACCAGACCCGAGCCCGACTAATTAACTGAATTTGCAGGCCCGACCCGAGCCCGACCAATTAAATGGATTTGCAGGCCCGACCCGACTAACTAACTGGCTTTGCAGGCCCGACAAATTAACTGGATTCGCAGGCCCGAAATTTCATATTTTATTTAGGAGTTCTTCGAGAATTGTCATTGCAAGAGGTTAGTACAGTATAGGGGAATGCTGGGACCTATTTCTTCTTTTGTGAGCTCTATAATCTGCACATTCATTTGACAATGTGGGGCTAATGGATAGAGGGTAGCTAAAGGTTTTACTGGGCAAACTAAGAAATTCCCTAGCGACACACATATTATCATAAAGAGGCATTCAAAAACGTGTGTCAAATGTCCCGCTGCACTCCACTTGTGCGGCACATTAAATTAAACGAGGTATGCCGTTAAAAAGCAATGAATAAGCATCATCATCCAAAGAACTACGAAACTTTAAATTTCGAAATTTAATATTTATGAAATCGGAACCACTCTGAAAAATAGTTTCTAATAAACATATATTTACTTATAAAAAGTCCAGCGATATATGAGCCCGACCCGAACGTAATGATTGTCATTTCAGGCCCGACCCGAACGTAATGATTGACAAATCAGGCCCGACCCGACCCGAACGCAATGATTGACATTTCAGGCCCGACCCGAACTTAATGATTGACAAATCAGGCCCGACCCGAACGCAATTATTGACTTTTCAGGCCCGACCCAACCCGAACGCAATGTTTGACATTTTAGGCCCGGCCCGAACGTAATGATTAACAATATAGGCCCGACCCGACCCGAACGCAATGCTTGATATTTCAGGCCCGACCCGACCCGAAATATCGGGTCGGGTCGGGGTTCGGGCTCCAGATCTTAGCTCTAATAGATATATATGCTGCTAGACTTCTACTGCTTGAACATATATGCAACACGCCGCGGTTTCTTGGAAGCAAAATGCTCAATAACGCGCTGATTAAAGTCATGCATCCCAGAAATAACGTCTCTGTGAATGGATAAAACAGCCAAGGAATTCAATCTATCTTGCTTCATTGTGTTTCTGAGATACGTTTTAATACGCTTCAGCGTGCTGAATGTTCGCTCTGCGTCGGCGGAAGAAATAGGCGTCGTCAAAATGATGTCCAGAAATTTTGCAGACGCCGCAAAGGTAGTTACTAGAGTGTTATCTATGAGGAACCCATAGAGCGCGCAAGTTGATGTGATGTTCAAAAAAGTTTGATTGGTGTATATACATCGCAATTCATTTTCCAATTTACCCACGTTTATCATGGGGTAAATTTGGAGACAGTAGCCAACAAATGGATGGGAAATTGACGTGCAAATTTTGAAAAATTTTTGGGGTTCATCAAAGAGAACGCGGCAAGGTGTTCAGTGCGCAGACGATCGCCTATTTGATTCACCAGAATGTCACAGCATTCCTTTGCAGACAAAATCAAACGCTGCGTTGTTTGCCCGCGGCGTAAAGAAACACTCCATGTGTCGTCGTATTTTATTGTTTCCCGGATACGAGATACAGCATCGCAGAAGTCTGAAATACACGACTGCACAGACGCTCCATCCATTAGCCTTGACTGCAATGCGCCGTATAATAGCCTACATCCACGTGATAGAATATTGTGGAGAAAAAGCAAGAAAAAAAATGAAAACTCACGAAGGCGAAGGAGGTCAGAGAGCTTCGGCGAAACGGAAAAAAATGAAGAAAACCCCGAAACATTTGCAAAAAATATACGGACGAGAGGGGTATCAAGACACATATTTTTAATAACGAGGTTAAATAGGTGTGCATAACAATGTAAAAAATGCGCATGAGGAAAATCTTATTTTATATAAACTTGAACACCATGTTTCGACCCACTTTTTGACTTCGCGTTGTAAGGCTGTAACACTTCTTTCAGTACAGCCGATATCCCGCAAGCCGTGCGATCAACGATTGGTACAAAGCTGTGAAATCTCTCGGTAGGTTTACCATCTTTCACAAACCGAAAAATCACAGCCAGTTGGGAAACGCACGTGATGTCAGTTGTCTCGTCAGACTGAATCGAAAGGAACTGGCAGTTCTCAATTTCCAGAGCCAAATGTTGCAAATAAATTTTATACATTGAGTCGAGCAAATCATTTTGGATATCCTTAGATGTCCCTTTCGAAACAGTTGCGGCATCAAGATGATCTCTCAATACTGTATCTAGGGATGCGGTGTATTCCACCATATCCAAAAATACCCCTCTATTAGAAGAGTCCATCGTGCCCACGGAGGGACAGCTCGTGACAACCAATGAACTTCAAAACATCTATCAATCGACCGAGAACATGGCGGTTTTTCTCGATGTTTTGGTTGTGCCGACGAATAGAAACCGCGCGTCCTTCATCCAATTGTGCGGCAATATTAACATTTCCGAATGTTCGGTATTTTACTGCATTGTCCAGATGCTCCATAGAAGATTGATGATCCCTGGCACGCTCGGAAAGATGTTTAAGATCTCTAAAACCAACTTTACACCAACGTGAGTCACGGGCGGTAGCAAAAAGTAGGCAATAAAAACAAAAAAGTGCATTTTTGTCCTCGCTGCATACGCGAACAAACTGATTTGTTACTGAGGAAACTGATATGAAACTTTAACGACACCATTTGATGGCTGATTCTCGAAAGAGTGTCAACGGCAAACTTAAAAGGGTATTTGAGATTACAGATCATCAAAACAAAAGTTTTTATATTAGATTAGCATCTGGGTATAGAAAAATAGAAATGCGTGGCAGTCAGATATATATATATATACATATATCAAAAAGAACACATCTTGGGCAAATGACGGACATACCTCGCCAATTCATGTACACACATGAATAAACAAATAGAGATCCTGTACATTTGTAATACAGTTTTGCGGTAGAAATCATCATTCTCTTATTTTGCTTCATACATATTCATTCGTTTCTCTGCGGTGATCGTTTTCATCCTGCACCATATTGTGCCAATTTTCATTCATCCATTTTTGACTAGCGGTTTACAGTAAAACGATATGTAGCTGAACATAATTCTCCTTACGGTGAAAACTATCGTTTCATGTTTCGTGTTATTTCTACAACTTCTATTATTTATTATTTCATATCCAAATGTGGGCCATAGTTGTCTTTCTTAATTTGGTGCACATCGTTCATTTCCATCTCCATCTCACAGAGCAATCATTTTACTGTCAAGACTAATAGTGGGTGTTATGGCGTCAGTATACGATACGAATTCAAATATCACCAATTCTGTGATTATGTAAATTGCCATTGTGTTTAAAAACTTGTGGTTGACTCGTACAATTCTCTCATATAACGAATATCGAAATTTATGAAGCTTTGTTACAAAAATATGGTAATGCACATTGCAATGGCTAGCAATAAAGCGCCATGCTATACTTTCACGTACCAATCCCCTATTTAACAGAGACTATCGCGACAAATATATATCATTTCATATTTATCGGTCAAGCTCGTTCTTGCATAAAACATACTTATTGTTTGACATCTTACCACAGGGTAATCGCGAAATTGAACTAGCACAAATCCATTTTTCTTTTTTGTGTGTGCTGATACGAGCGGAAAATTTGAGATATTTAAATATAAAATTGAATTTGTGGTCAATTAGAATCAGTCAGACATGCTTAATGAAACGCTATTGACATTTACATAGCTTTAAACAAAAGTGAAGATTTCACTGCATTAACACAAATTTTATATTATTATGTTAAAATGTGAGAAGATATTGTGAATCATTTACCTAACTATGTCGTATGTTGTGGAACTGAAGGTCCAAAGAGCCCTGCCAATGAGATGATGTAAAATGCCTTTAATAAAAGGCATCCTGTCTATAAGAATTAAAAACCGTTTGATTCTGAGAATCTATCAAATTCCTAATTTTCCATATGAATGCGGTTATGAATGCTATTATTACTGCAGATCAAATACCGCGCCTTTTTTCTATTTTGCTTGAAATATTAATTTCCTTATTATGATGTAGATGCAGTGTGAACAACCTTTAGCTACAAGGTTTGAAATTTAATGTACCATTTATTATTTACATATATGAGTCAATGTGGTCGAATTTCCGAGAATTTAGATATACCGACAAAAATTCAAAGCAAATTCCAAAACAAACTGATTCATGGCGAAATTTCCTCTTCAGTTAAAAAACAGTTGATTGGTGCTAGCATGACGCAGATACAATTATCTCCCTGGATTAACCTTTTGATCGAATCACAACATCATACCAATCGATCACGCTCATCCGTCCAGCTAATCCACGTGCAAACATCACTGAAGCATAGACTCACGTGACTGATGAGCGGGTATATTAGCCCGCAGAGTGTGGTTTTATCCCCTGTTGGCAACTGTCGAAAGTGAGCAATACCTCAGGGTATGAAAGGTATTTATTGTAATGAAATAGCATTTTATTAGGATTAAAACGGTGCTAATTTCCATATCATAAATTCCAAAAATAAATAACCATACATATTTTTTATACGTTTGTGTAAGAATGCGTTTTGGTGTTTTATTTAAATATATTTCTACCAGAATTCGTAGGAAATGATTGGTCAAGATATTTACACTATAAAACATTTCACCATGTGAAACACACGTTTAAATTTTTACTGAATGATATTAAAAATGTGGTTAAATTATCCCTGTTATCAATATCCTAACAAAATGATTTGTTTGAAAAAGTATTCAAAAAAATTTCAAAATCAATTTTTTGAAAAATAACTATTGAAAATATTTTTGTTCCATGAAGTATATCCCATGATTATTTCTCCTGTTTTAAATTAAATCTCGGCACTCTTGCTAAGGTGGAAATAGCGCAAAGAAACATCTGATCATGGTTATACATTCCAGTCGATACAACCATATCAGGGTAAGTTCAGTAAACACGCGAGATATCATACGCTTACAGCTGATCTCTACAAAAGACTGGATTTTTGTCGAGTTCTGGGCGTCTGAGCCGGGGTTGTCGAGTCGAGTTGCTCATACGAGGAAATGTGCAGGACTGCAGGACGAATCGTTCCAAGTTTATCGTTTCTCAATAGTTTTTGTGATTTGTCAACATTGCTTCGGCCTTTCAACAGAATTAGATAAACATATGCAGATATTTACCAACATGTTTTAATTAGTCCAGTATGGATTGGTTGCCTTAGAAGTGTTCTATGTGCGACCATGACGAACGAACGAAAACGAGTGTCGTAGCTGATAAACCGTAAAGATTTTCGATGCATTTATTCAAAAAATAAATATCAGAACTTGCACATTTACTGGCAAACGAGTCATCAAATCGATTCAGAGTAGTAAGATTTTAAAAATACAATATGAACAACAATTTGGCTCGGGATTTGTAACGGTTTTATTTGGACGCATAATTCCAGAATGCTCCATTAGCAAGCGTGTTACGTTCTTGCAACGAGACAGATATATAGATATATAGCTTGTTTCTAAATGAAATGAATTTACAATAATTAAGTATAATATCGATTATTATAGTGAAGAAAAGTTGGTATTTATAAGAAAAATGATTCATCAAGAATACTAGGTTTTTGTTTCGAAAGTTTGTTGAGTATGTCTTATAGATATCATAGAAAGCATTAGAAAGTGAAGCGTAGAGAAATTAATAATTCCCACGACTGTCCCTATTATGTAAAATAGCAGCAAATAAATGTATATAGTCAAAAGGATTGTTGTTTGTGGTATATTATAAACAGTATATCTTTTATGGCTCTATGTATGAATACTTGGTTAGAAGTTAGAACTACTTAAAAATTTAAGACAAGCGATTATCAACTGAAAGATGTCTACGAGATTTGATATTGACATAGTTTTTTTTAGATTATAACCTCAACATATTGAGAAAATAATTTTCGCATCGCATTCGAAGATCTTTGACACAAAACCTGGAAGCTAGTTCAAGCCAAATATGTTCAATCTTGCGAAAAATGAATTAACTCATATTCGGCTATACAATATTACTATACATTATTTACGACGTGATTTAATCCATAAAATGCCCGAAATGAGCACTTCAGCGTTGAGCCCGAGCCAATTTTCCCCCAAAGTTAGAAGATTCCAAGTTTGTAGAAAGGTCCGCCTACTGTATTTCACTCTATAGATCAGTGTACTTTTAGAATCTGTATTTTGTTCAATTTATATCTTTACTCTGTACACATGAATCTACTTTATTAAACATGTTCACAATATTTTGTACAGAATATTTATCAGATTCCTAAATTAGTTCTGAGAAGAGAGCGAATATAATGAAACCGCCTGTTCGCTTTAGTTTGATAATTGTTATTTAGTGTTTAGTGTTTCGTTATTCATCTTCCAGTGGATCACAAAATGATGAATGTTACATAAAGTCAGAATGTCAATACAAAGAAAATATGTGCGACGTGAACCCGATGGATTGTGAATTTCAAAAATTGTATGAGGAAGGTGAGTATGATGTTTTTCATTTTCGTTGAGGTTATAAACTACGATTACTTTGAGGCATTTCAATAGCAAAACATTCATATTGTATTTCACATCCCAAATTATTATAATTTTATTTCATTCATTCAGGTTGCTTGGCAGGATGTAAGGGAATATCCTACAATCAACTTTACAAACCAAAACAAGATGTGCAATTCTGGGTAAATACGACAAGGCCTTCATGGTATGCCAAGAACCTAACATTTACCATCGTATCGTAAGTTCATGTTTGTATTCTACATGTAGTATTTACATCCAAGTAATAGTCGAATATGTAATAAGATTTTGTTTTTGTCTAACAATAACAACTTTTATTTTATTTTTATAATATATGAGGACGTTACATTTTAGAATTATAAAAAACAACTGGACAACAATTCCCGATTGTTGTGGAGTAAAATGGAGCGAGTTTTGCACTTTGCCACCTATGGCCGAAGACGAAATGTTCATACTCATCATACCACTCATTAGAGACACGTATTGTTACTTCCAAATACAGGGTAATGTAAAGATTTTTATCACAAACCGCTCAACATACGCGATTCTATTTCAAAGAGAACGGTCGCCCGTAACATAAAATTTGATAAAATGAATATATATTGTAAAAGTTATCTTTAATTGTAAAATTGAACTTTTGCGGGGTTTTGTAATTTATATCTAAGTTCATCCACAGAATTCAACATCGAAACAACTTCGCATGAGTGGTGTGACGATGTGGTGAAGGTAGAATGTCTCTATGAAGTAAGTGGGGAAATATATTTATTGAAAAAACATCTGGATGCCATCACGGACAGGTTCCAACTCAAAGTAGAGTAAGTGCAAACTACTATGATGGGGCATATTTATTTGATAGAAATTAGTTAATTAGATTCAATAAATTCGATTGTTACATAAAAACATTGTACCACGCCATTAGCCTAACAGTCGTATTATTTGTACGTTAATTTGAATGACATCATAATGATATTATCACTCTTTAGACGTTACTGCTTTTTCGAAGCTGCGAAATCTTATCTTGCGTATGGTCGACACTATGAAGACAATGAGTTTGTAACTGGCATTAAAAATTTCACGTTGATTGAAACGACTGAAGAAGTTGAATGGGAAAATAATTCAATCAATTGTACAATAAATGGAAAAGTTTCTGATATCGAATCTTTGCTGCATAACAAAACTACGAAGAAAGGAAATGCTTTGTGTTGGTTCTCAAAGGTGTCTGGTGTGTGGAATCCTACTTCAACTTGCAAACTACTCACGGCGATATCTGGTATATATTGCTTTTTTCTGCGGATTGTGTTATGTTGTTTATATAAACAAACGTCCAAAACTAATGATTGAAAAACACTCGTTCGGACAATCTTACAAGTGTTTATAATTTTCATCGAAGTGGATGATATTTCGAATCTTTTCACTAACTGATACAATATTTTATTTAGATGACGAAACATCAACAACCAGACTAATTATTGTTATAGGGGTTGTTGTCGCCGTTGCCCTTCTCATATTTATCATCATTTTCTTCTGGTTATATAAAACAAAAATACAGAAATGCTTTCCTTCCTACAAGGAAACTCAAAGAGAAATATCCGTGAGTACATTCGTAACTGGATTTATTTAGAAATAAACTCCTCTTAATCACTACAGTATAGTATTTTAAGAGGAAATGAGACAAAGTAAAAAAAAATACTGTAATTGAATAGCATACGGCCAACTTCTCAACGCAGATCCCTATGTGACACCCATCAGCCTCGCAGATATATTTAATTTGCTTCCATTATGCGAAACTTTTTCAAAATCACTGATTTTCATCTGCGAAGTTTAAAATCATTTATGACAATATTGTAGCGCCATTTTTATATATATTTTTAGGAAAAAAAGGTGTTCAAAATTGAAAAAGAGCATTATTTCTTGCCAGATAATACAATTATACGTAACCAGAGTGCGGGAGAGCAAGCTGACCAAATTTGTTTCGCATGTAAGCTTTCTAATATTAGATGATTCCTAGATTTTTTAAATGAAATTCATACATATTTCCTGAACTATAAAATTTATGAGTACCTTAGCTATATTTCAGCTCGAATTGTGACAAATTTCATTAGATTCTTCTTTGGTTTTAAACGTTTTACTACTTTTTAGATCACTAACACGAAGAAATCTGCAAAATTACCAGCACAGAAGCAAAAACTGCGCGCCCTGTCAGTGATATTCGCAATGAAGTTGACTCCGGATTTGGCAACGACCTGGATTACATATCGCCAACAGATTTACAAAACGGAGTCTATTCTTTTTCGAATCAAATACATAATACATCATTTGATCAGTCGAATGAGAGCACAATTGCATTAAATCATGAAACTGGAAATTATATGACTATTGATTCATTTGAAAATATATCCTCGCTGGTTGACGAAGGTGAAACTATATCCTCTTTAAATATTGGTAATTCTAATGACCAATATGATTCGAGATTCGATAATAAATTTGACTAAATATTATCAAAAGAACCTCAACACAAACTAGAGGTGAATATGAACCTGGCAAGTACTTTTTCCTACGAAGAAAACTTTAGTGTGCATGACAAAGGTTTTCAAATGATAACGGCACCGGACCAAAATAAGTTCGCGAAAGACAAAGAAGCTTTTCCAATTCTGACACATTGTGAAGAACAGTACACTACAAAAAAAAAATTTCAAAACGGAATTTCGACGAATAGACCCGAGACAATGATGCAAATACGATCAATAACTGATGACTTTAATGTTGAAAATATTAAAACTTCCAGTTTGCCACGCCGAAGTTCCACATCCAGCACCGACACGAGTTGTGGATCAGAGAAAAGTAATAATATTTTATTTATAAGAAAATGTTCGAGCGAAAACAACATAGCGCAATACGTGAAAACGTCACGAGCAGTTGATACTGGGTTTGAATCCGAAGATTTAGAAAATGAAATGTATGATCAACAAGATCATGAGATACACCTCATTGACGACGGTTATATGAGCAAAGAAATGAAGCCATATGAAGGAACGTCATTCCGAGCTTAGAGAGTAATGAAAAATATTTTGAAAGTTTGATACAATAATTTAGACGGTGGTTATTTGATTTCACTGGACAAAGAAAATATGTTTCATTACAAATTTAGCGGTGATAACTTTATATTCAAACCTCAATAGGTGAGGAAGGCATTTGATTATACTGGTCTACCACTTTCTTATAATCTGTAAAATGTAGACGCATATCGAAATGCAAACACGCGTATACAGACTGAATTGGTGAAAAACAACAATGAGTAACAAACAGAAAAACGCATCGGTTGTTTTTGAATCACCGCTCAAAACCACCGGAAACCGGATTTTATTATTCCTGACAATGACATGAAGTGCGAAATTTAAATATATCACTTCTTAAATTTAAATTTATTATTTAGATCTGCTTTTTGAGTTTCGTATATTTTAACCAGCAAAATTCCTCGAATATATTGTGCAAATTATTTTGTCAAGACGTAACAAAATTATTCTATGTAATCGTCTTTTTTAACGTGACATCAATCAATCATAATTTTTAATTGCTTCCATTCGTTCTGTATTCAAAATTGCATAGAAAGATTATCTGTAAATTTATGAGACATGATATACTATCATCATTTTGCTCAGATAAAAACAATGGAGTCAATGTAGTAACTTGTACCGGAGTATCATTCTTCGTTTATACACACTCCAATGGAAGTGTCCGGGAATTTTTCTATTTCCCGCTCCAGTGAAGTTTTCTCAGAATTTTTTTCAGACATTACTTTTATTACAGTACATCGCCAGTCCGTCACCCGCTCAAGAAGGCGGAAACAGTCACTCTCATGTTGGTGTTATACACAGCTATCCGTCATCTAATACATTTGTGTATAGCTTGATTGATAATGATTTTACTATGATATTTTATTTGAGATATCCCTAATCGTATTCCGAAAATATTGTTTGTTGCCGCTCAAGATTCAGACATTTTGTTTCTAGTCAATTTCTATGTTATTTGTACCGCTTTTTTATCAAACTTTTTGTGCACATAATGTGTGAATCATTATTATAAGATGTGGCGCGTGAAAAAGAAAATAAAAGCATTTACACATCTTCAAACCATTTTGTTTTGTTTATTATACCTAGATATTTGAAAACTTTGACATTTCAGTGCAAATACCAATATGGATGAACGATATACATTGTCGGGGACCTTAGCTCAGTAACTATGACGCTCAAATATTATATTAATCTTTTTACATTTAATACACACGGATTCCACATACACTAATTACCTTGACTGATTGCGACGTATTTTAGTATGGAAGAATGCAGTATCTCCCTACTCCAGATTTATTTTATTCTATATGCACTTGTACAGTTGTAGGCGCTTCAAAGCAAATACCATGAAATGTAGATGTAATTCCATTAGGTTTATTTATTCTTCTGTTGTTTTTAATAAAACACGATTTTAACAATACTGATATCGAACCATCTGTCGCATAAAATTTTGCAGAAACACGTAGATTCGTCGAAATATTCAAATCGATAAGTAACTAGATTATTTGCCTTTCGTAATGAAACAATAGAAAACTTGATTGGCAACTGGATAATTTTGAAGCGTAAGTTCATCACACTTCTTGTCAGTTAATAACGCATACTAAATTATATTGATGGATCGTTAACAGAAGTTTCTCAAATAACTTTGGTAAGTTTTGATTAAGTTATGAACAATAAGATGATTTATAGCCTTTACAAGCTTGATCTCATACCTAGTTAGCAGTAGCAGTAGTTTTCCTTTTGATATGAATTAAAAGTGACATTTTTATTGCTTTGATACGTTCGAAGTAACTCTCCAAAAAACAACAAACTAGGTTATGTTTTGTCATCTTGCCAACCAAGTATATCCGGAATGGTAATGATCCAAAACCAAATTACGTTTCTGCGTCATATTACAAAAACCATGAATTAAGTAGGTAATTTTTGTGCATATTACTCCAGCCGATCAATATCAGATGAAAAAAAACATGACAAAAATGGGTGCTCTAGATCAGTGTTTCCCAACCTTTTTACCCTGGCGGACCGGGAAAATTAAATTAAATGTACTCGCGGACCGGCAAAAATTGGAATGACCGGAACAGAAAGGAATAACATATATGTGCTTAATATAATTCATAGTCGGACACTCAATATGCTTCTAGACAAAAAAGGCACACTTGAAAACATTTCACACGAAGAAAAACTATCAAATAATGTGCCGGCCAAAAATTGAAATGGGTGAAACACAAAATATGATCTTATTTTTGCGCAATGAAATGCAGTGCTGGGCACCCATTATGCGTAAGAATGGCATACATAAAATATCTCACATAAGAACATGTACATGCCAAATCATGTAAAAACACAATTAACTCTAGTGAGAATTTTGCTGTTTCGTTTCCAATATAAGATTTCAAACGAGGCCTCAAAGAAGTTTCTGCAACACGTGGCTCTGCAGCGGCGTGTAGTTGATTTCTTTGCTCCGTTTTAATTAAAGCTAGGGATGAAAATGTTTTTTCGCATAACGCATAAGTAACTGGTTGAAACTACGGACAACAGTTTGATTGCTCTATTACTTAGCGATGGGTATTCGCAATGTGTATATATGCTCATTGGTATTCGTTATCAAGAGATATCCAAAATTGTGACAGTGATTCTTTTTTAGATCTGGACTGTAAAGTATAATCCCAATTTTAATCAAGCTTTTTCTTTTTCATCGGGTTTATAATATTAATCACTCTGTAGTTGACCGACGCCTCAAACGAAATGAATTTAAATTACAATGACAAAGTCGTCGGTAACTTGGCACCAGGCTCAATCCTACTGTGTCTGCTCAAAATACTGGAAAAGATCTCAGCGGCCCATGCTTTTTTGCGCGTCTCGTGACCACCTGTAGGGTCGCAACAAGTTCATATCTTAATGCATGGGATATTATACTGTTCTTTTTTGTTTTCTGGTTCAGACAAAGAAATATGCATAACGTTTTATATGGATTGTCATATTAATCAGGAAAGGCATGCAGAACAGAAAAAGCACGCCTGCCGATTTTTTAGGTTTCTGAATCTTGCGAGATTTGATGGAGCGATAAATCGCAGCCGAAAAAGCAAAAAGTGTGATTACTCGGCGCCAATATGTCGCGAAAGACGTCGTAATATGACGGAGGAAGAGAAATTGCGTAATAAACAAACGCAACCTCGTCTTCGGCAAAGCGATTGAGACGGCATAAAAACAACGAAATTTCTTGCGGACCGGCAAAAAAGCTTCGCGGACCGGCGGTTGGGAACCACTGCTCTAGTCTAGATGTATGCGCACCAAGATGTCGCACAACCTTAATTCCAACCGGTACACACATACTATGTTCAGGTTGTGCGCCATCTTGGTGCGCATACTTCAGGAAGTCCCAAAAATGTTATCATATCTTAAGGAAAGCATTTTTATAAATAATAATTCATTTTGACTGTTGTAAGATGGCATTCTGAAGAAATTTATTATCGGGATCAGAATGGATCCGATAATACAAAGTGTAGTAAAGAAAATATGCATTTATTATTACAGTTCTCAGTTCTTAACCCTAAAAATAGATTCTGGTCGATCTCCTGAATCAGTGTCTATATTTCATCTATTCGCCAAGTAGTTATGGCTTGGATTAATTCGTAGTAACAAATTGTTTACTGCGTACCTCGGTCATGGTGCTTGAATTCATTTGTTTATAAAATTATAACTGAGGTTTGACATTTGTATTTTGAACCCGAAAAACAAGATTCTGTGCATGCAATTTGGTTCAACAACATACAAACTCAAAGGAGTTGGCAAACTGAAAAAATATATCTTAGTTTGGGGGTTTCTATGACCTTACCTCCGTCGTGTCAAAACAAAAAAAATTAATTTGAATTTATATAAATAGAGCAAAGCTACCGCTATAATTAAGTAAGTATGTTTGTGAGCTTTCGTTAGATCATGGTCTAACTTCTTCAAACAATACAAGATTTATCTTAATGACAGCAATAATGGTTACATCTTACCGTACTTACTATTCGTTGAAAGAGATCATGTTATTTTTACTTATCACTTTAATACTACTCGTTCAAGCATCCTTGTGGTGAGCACTACTCACGGATCCGAAGCAGAAAGTAAACAAGGAGAAAGGACCTGCAGTGTCATACACAATATCCGAGTTCCCCTAGTATTGGCATATAATTAAGTACTTGATCAAGTTTGAGTAGCCTAT